TGGAGAGAGGATTTAAGGGAACACTAAGTGGTTGGAGGTTGAAATTTGGAGCCCTTAGCTACTGTTGTAATTTCTGTGAAAGCTTACAGATCAATTATACATAATAAGCTTCTGTCTCTGAGCTTTAGATCTCAGGACCGAATTATTTTGGGATCAAGATACGAGTATACAGCAGACTCTCAGTAAACGTAAATTTGTTAAACGGAACTGCTGCTTAAACGAAACAATTGCCTTTGCAATGCTTAGTTTCGGGCTTGTAATCTACACCCATGTTCACCTCTCAGTAAACGGAACTCCTGTTGAATGAAACATATTTTTTCGATCCCTTCAGGTTGTGTTTACTGAGAATCAACTGTGCATACTTTATTATATGCAGTGTTGGCTCTACTTTAGTACGATATAAATATGTCAGGGCAATAAAACAATGCACATTGTGCTTTCATTGTCTCTATGTGTTTTGCACATAACTCTGTCATTAACTTTCATGGCATGCTTAGATCATGCTCTACTGTGCTGCTGTTCTGGTTTCCTAGTTGTGGAGGGATGTTATAGTTGTGAGAATATGTCCATGATACGTGCAGCCTCTTCCAGTCTCATTTCACTCTGATTTCACTTGAATTTATTTTGAGCCTGTAGCAAAAAAAAAAAAAACATAATAGAGGGAGGTTGGGAAAGGAATAGACAGGTTTTAACGTTGTGGTACTGTTATGACATGAATTGACGGCTAGATCACCCTGCCCCAGCTTTCTGTCCGAGCTTGCTTCCTGTAGAGAGGCAGAGCCTGTTGCATTGAGCCTGCTTGGCTGTGTGTGGGGCGTCTGCCACTGGCCCTCTCTTCTCTCCTCCGTCCCTACTGGGGGCCCGCAGAGGGCGTGGAGGCACCTGGCAGGAGGTTGTGTGGTGTTTGTGTCTGAGAGGGGGCCCTGCCAGTTTCTTCTCCAGAAGGCAAGGCCGTCCAGGGAGCCATTGAGCGGGTAGCCATCTGTGTGGCCATCAACGGACGGTCTGCGGAGGAGGCTGCCAGGGTGGCCCACGTCGACGACCCGGCCTACGAGTGAGTCGCTTTTTCCAGTGCCTCCATTGCGCTTAAGCAGACTGTTCTTATTCTCATAGGCAGTGTGGGCATGTTGCTTTTTTGGTTATTCAGTAGCGTACTGTAAAACCGACACCTCCCACTTCCCTGGCCACTAACTACTGAAAATTGGAAGAAAAAAAAAGTATATTGAATGACCAAAATATCGGAAGGCGTACTTATTTGCTTATCAAGAGAAACAAATGCGATTTCGAATGGTGCTCAGTTAAAATGGCATTCATTTGCACGTGTGTTGGTACTTAAGTTCCACATGGCAGAAAGCCAAAAGATGGGCTTACAAACATCACAACCATGTTGACATCTTTTGATTTGAATGCACTTGGAGGTCACTAGTACATCAGCGCAGCTTGTGTATAAACTTAGCAACCTTTGAAGTTCTCGTGGCGAAATAAAGCTTTCTTCCAATTGCTATGTGTCGCGATGCGATCCTTTAGCGTCGGCCTGCAGTGCAAGCTTCTGTCATGCACTTAATCTGCCCACTACAGTATTCTGTTTCGAACCACCAGTCAAGAACAAGAAAAATTTTGAAAAAGGGAAGCATATCGGAGCCGAAATAATTTCCCAAAATAACAAAAACGCTAAACGAGACTACCCACGGCACAAGGCTGGTAATAAACAAAGCGGCATTGTTGACTGTGATGGTAACGGAAAGGGTTTACTTCAGGTGCTAATAGTTGCCAGACTTAAGAAGCTTTTTGCTAATGGCTGGTATATAAAATGGAGGTAAGTTTTTATTGTTGAATTCCAATGGCAGATCGCGAGCACTAAGCCGTATTGCGAATGTAATGCGCAGATCTGAGCGGGATTGCTCTTGTCAAATCTGCAAATGGAACGCGTTCGTCTCCACGGGAACTGTTGGTGAGCGGAAATCTAGCGAGGGAGCATGACAGGGTGTGAGAGAGTGAGAAGCTTTTTTCGGACACCCATTGGTGATTAGATGAAAGGCAGGTACACAGAATACGTCACTTCAACTTCCGGTCAAATCCGCCAATTTCGGCGGAGCAAGAATTTTTGCTCCACGGAGCAATCCGTGATCTGTGGTTGCTCTCGATCTGCCATTGGCACGCACAATTAATGCTCCCAATCTGCCATTGGATTGTGATTGCTCCACTCAGAGCAGAAAAACTTGATCTGGATCTACCATTGGAATTCAACATATGGCTGTTTTCTGAGGGGGTTGGGGGGCAAAATAATATAAAAGGTTAACCTATATATTTTTGTTTTTATGGTGCTCTTTACATTTCGTTACTGTTATGGGTAATTTAGGAACTTATCATAACTCCAGCCACAGTTTGAAGATAGCCTGACATTTCGAAACTGTTTCGGTCTCTTTCTCACGGGGTGACTGTTCATCTATTTATGTTTACTTTTTGTCATTAATTTGAGGTGTTATGTTACTTGTCACATTTTATATTAGCTATCCCCGGAGTCTTAAAAGGGCCCTGTATAACTTTTTGAGCATGGTCAGAAAACGCTGCCAATAAGTAGTAGAGGCTCCCGAAAACACACGAGCCAAATGGTATAGGGCAGTATGTGGCCTGGAATTCACAATAAATTATCAAATAAGCTGAAAATCGCCTTTTCTTTTCTCGATAAATGACGGGAGATGCTTAAAAATCATGCGTAGAAGGCCATCTATCAGCCATTTGCTGATTTTAACATGGCATGCTCGGTCATTACAGGGATCGCCACGAAAGGCCGCGTCTTCTCCAAGTTACACAGGAAAAGTTGCGTATTCAAAGAAAATAAAAAAAAAGTGCTCGAGGTCACAAGGCGCGCGTGATGTATTTTCTTTGCCCCTGCCATTCCTCCCTGCTTATCCTCCGGCGCTTTCAACGGGACGAGAGAAAAGAGAACGGGATTGCAGCGTGCGAAAATTTTTTGTAGCTCCGCTCGTACTGGACGGATTCTTAAAATTTTTGCGACATTGAACTCGTGCAGCAATAAGCTCTTTTTGTGTCCGCTCCACGGTTACTTGATAAAATGTTGCAGGGCTTTTCTAAACCAAGCTCCTTCATCTTGTAGGCGCCACATTCCCAAAGCTATTCTAATGTTGCAGCGGTAGACTGCTATCGACCTGTAAGTTATTGACAATAGGAAGTATATGTCCTCTAATGTGTCCGTCAAGTGCATATTTGCTGTAGCTGCAAACGTATTTGCTAAGAGAGGCATGCTCTGTGGTGACAACTTGCAGACCTGTTGCTTAAAAAGTCTACAAGGCATTATCAGCAATTTCTGCCTGCAATGCTATAGTTGAACCCGTTTATAATGTGCACTGATACAAGGGACAGTTGCGTATAAAAGACGCTAATGTGCTTAAATCCAAACAAGGATTGATCAGAAAATTAGAAATTGATACGCTGCTTATAGAACACGTCACATAGGAGACAACTGCTCTCTAGTGTTAACTAAATAGTCAAAAACATTGTAAAGCCCAGCATGCTTGTGCAAAGTAATTCAGCTGAAATAATTATTTCTTATTTACAGTTATAAGGGAAATGTAAATAATAAGTTTATGAAATTTTTAGTTTCTTGTTTCCTCTTTTTGCTTTATAGAATGTTTATTATTTGCCTTCTCCATAATCGGTGTGTAAGGCCTTAATTTACTTGGAACATTCAGTACTTTACTGAATATATTAACACTTTATGCGATTGTAATTCAAGACACAAGACCAGTGGAAGGCAGTTTTAGGTATGTTTACCAGGCTGCTTCGCTTCTTTGTGAAAATTGTGGGTATACCGTATTTACTCACGTAATGAACGCACTTTTTTTCTTGAAAAGTCGGAGCAAAGTTAAGGGCAGGGTAAATTTTATGAAAACATTTCTGGAGGAACAAAAGATTCGGTAATGCAAAAAAATAATATTCGTTTCACACGGGCATAGAAAATGACACTCGGTAGCGAACGCATTCAGTTCCCGAATGACATTTTTTTCGGCGGCGCTGCTACACGTCCTAAGCAAATGACATTTGACTTGATGATGTCGATCGCAGCACCTTCCTCGTGTGCATCGCGTAAGTAGTAATAAAAAAATAAACAAGCATTTACAAGCTTCATACACATCAAATAATAATTTAGTGTATGAGTAAGCATATTACGCTGCCGTTAGATTTCGTTCGTTACTTTGTTGCACGACGTTGCAATCTACCAAATAGCAACTTAGGCGAAAGCTAGTCAGATCCGCAGCATAAAAAGAAAATGGCGCCTGTCGCATTTATTTTACAGCGTCTACCAGCTGCAGATAAGTTTTTAAACACTTTATTTATTTTTATTTGTTACATACTGCAGTCTGTAGACCAAGCAGGAGGGGCACAAAAAGGGAGCATAGCGAAAAAAGCGAACAAGTTATACAGCAAGTTAGAATACACAAAGCTACAGAAAAACAAGTCATACTAAATAGGATGCATAGTTATACATATCTAGAAAAAAAAGCGAACAAACTTCTAGAAACGGTTTCAAGCACAAAAAGTAAAGCTACACAGTTGAAATAATAAGATGAGGTAATCTAGCATTGAAATATCAACAGTGTTGATTACACAAAAAGATGCATGTAGTTTTCAAAGTCGGGAATGCCACGTTCAGGAAAAACATTTGAAGGCAGTGCATTCCATTCGCTAATGGTTCTCGGAAAGAAGGAATGTTTCAAAAGGTTAGTACGTGCAAAGTAAGGTGTCAGATCATGATTGTGAGCATGCCTGGTTTTCCTGGAAGAAGAGAGAGAGATGTATTTACTGGGATCGATATTAAACTGATGATTACAAAGCAGGAAAAGAGGGAGTCTGGCGATAGTTCTACGCTGTTTCAAGAGCGGAATGTTGTTAGTAGCCATAAGTGATGAAGGTGAATCAAGATTGTGATAGGCATTATAGATGAATCTTACCGCTCTCCTCTGGACCATTTCAAGTTTATAAACATCCTTTTTAAAATACGGGTCCCAGGCTACGCATGCATACTCTAGACAGGGTCGAATAAATGTATTATATGCAAGAAGTTTGATCTGAGTTGGTGCGTTTTTTAGTTTGTGTCTAAGAAACCCTAGTTTTCTAGAGGCGGAGGAACAAGCGTTGTCAATGTGGTTACTCCACGACAGTCGATTGGTAATATTGACTGCCAAGTATTTAAAATTGCTCACTTCGATCAACGTATTATTATTTAAGGTGTAGCGTGATGCAAAAGGGGTAATTTTGTTTGAGATACGCATATAGACCGATTTACTAATGTTTAACTCCATCGACCAGGTATGGCACCAATCGGAGAGAGAATTTAGGTTGTTCTGCAAGCACTCTTGGTCCCTTTCACTTTTAATTGGCTTGTAAAGAATGCAGTCATCTGCAAAAAGCTTTAGGCTTATGGCGGAGGTGTCAACTGATGAAATGATGTCATTGATAAAGATGAGAAACAAGACAGGGCCAATGACACTGCCTTGTGGAACTCCCGAGGTTACAGGTAGAACCCCAGAGCAGCAGCCCTCGACCTGGACAAACTGTTTGCGGCTGGTAAGGTAGTAGCGGATCCAGTTAATTACAGTAATGGGTAGGCCAATGTTTGAAAGTTTGGTGAGTAATTTACTATGGCAAACACAGTCGAAAGCTTTTCTAAAATCTAAGAAGATGGCGTCTATTTGGTCGCCCTTATCAAGTGCCATTGCGAAGTCGTGAATTGTGGTGACAAGTTGAGTGGTAGTCGAGAGGCCCTTCCTAATACCATGCTGGAAAGGAGTCAAAATACTGTTTTCTTCAAGAAATTACATTATGTAATGCGTGATGATATGCTCAAGAAGTTTACAAGGACCGGAAGTTAATGATATTGGCCGGTAGTTTTCAACATTTAGGCGATCACCTTTTTTAAATACGGGAATAACACGTGCCGTTCGCCAATCCTCGGGAAGAATTGAATTATGTAACGAAAGACGAAAAATATGGGTGAAGACATGCGCGATAGGTTCGGCGTAACGTTGCAAAAATGCATTAGGTATACCATCGGGACCATCGGAAGATTTAGTCTTAACATTCAGTAACAGTGAAAGGACACCTTCGACAGTTATGAAATCGGCAGATATAGTAGACAGAGAAATAATGTTTGTGTCTGCATGATCTCCCTGAGTGAATACTGAGTGAAAATACTAATTGAATTGGTTTGCAATTTTGACTGGATTGTTAACAATACAGCCATTTACTGATATCTCGTTCGGTGTTTTGTGCGCATCGCTCAAGTACCGCCAGAATCTATCCGGGTTAGTTTTCAAAAAGTTAGGAAGCGAGTGGTTGAAGTATCTTGCCTTAGCTTCGCTTAGCCTAGTTGCAAGCTGGGCCTTCAACGAGATAAGTCTGCAGGGTATTTTTTTTCTTTTTTCTAGCTCGTTTTAGCTTGCGGTGCAAATGTATATCTCTAATAATCCATGGGTTATTTCGGTTTTTCCTAACCCGTTTGCTTGGCACAAACTTATCAGTGCAGTAATGTATCGCAGTTTTTATTTCGTTCCAGGCGATCGGCACATCATCAGAAAGATTATCACATAAGAACCAGAGATGATCCAAAATGGCCTGGTCATCCGCCTTCGAGTAATCCTTAATGACCTGTCTGGTCTCTTGTCGGTGTGCTTTGTTTTCACCAATACCGAAGGATAAAAATACTGCTTTATGGTCGGAAATGCCATCTTCAATAGAGACCGTGTATTTGCATACATTGAAATTTAAAAAGACTAGGTCGAGTGTAGAACGGATGTTTCCAGCCTCTCTGGTGCACTCATTAACAATCTGAACAAGATCGCACATCAAGGCAATGTCAGCGAGAGGGTTTAACGTCGTTACATCAGAGCCAGAGCATGGAACGCGCCAGTCAACATTGGGCAAGTTAAAATCACCTGCAAGAATCAGACGATCATTTTTAAACGTGCATATGTGGTCATATAGTCTAGACAGATATTCGTGTGTTGAAGAGGGTAGTCTGTAGATGGCACATACGGTGAAGTAATGGCCCCAGCAGCTTACCTTAAGGAATAAACTTTCGTGCTCATGAATTTGTTGAAGAGGCCGAGCACTAATACAATCTTTGAGAACTATTACTCACCACCTCTTGTTGGCTGGTCACATGTGAAGATTTGATATCTCGGAGGAATTAGTACTGAATCATTTATACCTTCGTGCAACCAGGTTTCTGTGATTATTGTAATGTGAGGGTCGTAGGTGAGTAGAAGGTACTCGAGCTTGTCAACCTTATTTGACAGGCTTTGCGCGTTTACGTTAAGCACTCTCAAACTTTTGGACACACACTGTCGAGCGGGTCAATCAGAACCTGTAGCTTGCGGATTAAAGGCTACACGCACATTTTTGGCTTCATCCCAGCCAAAAAGTTTGCCACCAATTTTGATCTTGTCGTGAATAAGAGTAACCCGTTTCCTGCTGTCGCGTTCAGCTTTTGCACTTTCCCAAAGCAGGCGGTGCTTGCGCAGCGTGCACTGGCTATAATCATTTTGCACATAAATATTCATCATCATCATCAGCCTGACTACGTCCATTGCAGGACAAAGGCCTCTCCCATGTTCCGCCAGTTAACCCGGTCCTGTGCTTGCTGCTGCCAATTTATACCCGCAAACTTCTTAAATATTAAATACCCGCACATAAATATTGGAGCCCTTCAATTTATTTGAATTCTTTAAGACTTCTTGTTTCTCCTGATAATCTTGAAAGTAAGCTATGACAGGCCTATGACTACCTTGGCGGCCAAGACGGTGAATGTGGGCTATGGACTTGCACTTCACTCCCAATGTTTTCTCGAATATATCGGCTACAACAGCAGTTCGAAGACAGGTGTCATTTTCATTTGTGTTTTCGAGAACACCATGAATGATAAGGTTTGCCCGACGGCTTCGGTCTTCGAGATCAGTTAACTTGGAGCTCTGCCATGACAGCACAGTTTTAAAGGAAGCTGCAGTGGATTCAAGAGCTGCAACTTCCGGTGATTTATCTTTAAATTCCTGCAGTTTGGCTTCAATTGCTCGAAAAAGCAAGTCCATGTCGCACATTATGTGTTCGTTCATCGATTTTAATAGCAGTGTTTCAGCCTTCATATCTGCTTGGCCCTGAAGAATACTGTGTAATAAATCAGCTTTCGTGGGTCCTGGGTTTGTCTCAACGTCACCACAGAGTAACATTTTGCATGCACAATAGCACTCATATGCAATACTTAAACAGGTGCTTGGGCACGGCACAACTACTAACATGACTTCATCACTAGTTTTTATGTTGGAAGCAGAGTAGCTAACCTGTACAACGAAGAAGAACTTCGTGGTTAGCAACATGGTCGCTGTCGTCTCGCCGTGCCCACTGTCGAAGAAATGCTGCAGTGGATGCTTTATAGCCTCGGTCGCTGATGTCACGGACATGCGCAACTGTCGGTGCGTCCATACAGAAGGTCCACACATGCAGATCTGCCACGGAAAGGTAGATGGTGTCAACCGGCGGCGCGCACGTGTCATTCGGGCTCGGTAATCCTGTGACCGTCAGCAGCGAAACCTGTACAACGAAGAAGAACTTCGTGGTCAGCAACATGGTCGCTGTCGTCTCGCCGTGCCCACTCACTTGTTTAAGTGATAAGAGTAAATGAAACATGCAAAAAGCTTCCTTCCAGTCGAATCAAATGTCGTTTTATAGAATTGCTTCGTTCGCTGTGCCATTGAGAATACGCATTTCTCAGTCGAATGAGTTCTGGCGAAGGCATTAGGAGACGAGTGGTATTTGCGCGAATGACATTTCGTTCATCTGTGTAGTACCACGCAAATGACATTCAATCTGAAGGCATTAGGAGGTAAATGCCATTTTCTCTACACCTGCGGCATGGGTATTGCGTATTTAGGTCACTTAGCCTTATGCGATTGATATACGTATACACTGTTTGGAAACAGCTGCTTTGTTGCACTTAACTCATCTTCGGTGTTTGATGGCGCTATCTTTTGCAAGCTGTCACTGGGCCGCCCACGCACGCCATAAAAGCGTTTTTGCGGCTATCTTTTCTCACAATCGTTAAACCGCAACAGTGGTATCTACTGTGATCTCGAGGGGCACCCAAAAGCATGTGCTTCGACACACTTGGCCAGCTTAGTGGCAGCCTCGCACGATGATCGTGACGCCACCCTTAACATTGTAGCAAGTAACCAACACGCAGCAAGCTATCTCTGAAGCATCGAAACAAACTGTCGATAACAAGATTAACAACAAAATACGGCCGCTGCCTCACTTCTACTTGAGAAGTTTCTTTACGCATGGATAACAAGCGAAGCGAGAATTAGGGGTGCTACCATGTTGCGGAAATCATCACAATCTTTTCTGGATGATTAGTGATTTTTTCTGTTTTTTTGAGAAACCTGTGACACGATCACAAAGAATGACCCTTCATGACAGTAAATTCTGTTGTCGCTCGAAAATTGCATGCACGAGGTTGAGCCGGCTTTTTCGTATTCGTAGGAAGTGACCGCGTGTTGGCGCGGGCAGTTTCGTGGCATTCGCTCGCTGTATGCTTATCAGCTGCGATGTCTCTACACTCGTACCCTTCGTGAACCCCGCTGTGGCGCACTGATAGAAAAGATGAGGGACATGCTGCGCACAGATAGAAAGAAACACAATAGGGCACCCGACAACGGGCGAAGGGGGGAAGGAGCGAGCCAAGAAGGCTAAGGGGGGGTCGGCAAAATAATAAAAAAACGAAATATATTCAACGGGTAATGAGGTACCAGGTGTCGTTTAGCGGGACTGCAGCAAATGAATGTAGGGGTGCGTTTATTACGCAGGGAAAGAAAAATCCTAATTTTGATGACTGAAGTTTGGGTGCGTTTATTATGCGAGTGTGTTCATTACGTGAGTAAATACAGTATTACCGTTGCATTGTAGTGAACGTAACTTTGGGATCCATTCGATCCTCCAACAGCTTAGTGCAGTGAGAAGCATTGCTTTTAGGCTGCAAGATAATTTACGTGGCAGCTGTGGGGTCTTCAATTAATGCTACTTTGGACGAGCAGACATTGTAGAAAGTCCTAAAAATTGTATAGCAAAATGTTTCAGTGCCCGAAATTTCAGTAGGCCCCTGTAAACTAAATTTAAGCTGTATTTGGTGGCATTGTGGAAGTATCTGAATTATCAGGAAAATGCCAAAAATTTGTTGTCTGAAAAGTCAGTGCATTAACTCTATGTACTTAATTTTCTGTCTCACGGTCAGCCTAATCAGACGGAAATTAACAGAGGTCTGTGGATATGGCAGCTACAAAACAATTGCTTACTTCCTGCTTCTTTGGCTGCAGATTTCTACGGAACAAGGATGGGGAGGAGTACCACCGTTTTCAGGAGCGTGTCCAGGCCCTCTCGGCAGCCAAGCTGCGAGCTGAGGAGTCGGGTGCTTTGCCTCCCTCTAGCCGCATCGGTTAGTGTTTACATGATCTTTCAAGATACATTTAGCTATATGTTGCATCTGTATTAAGCCTGAAATGGACTGCAGTTTCAGGAAAAAGCAAAGTAAGTAAATTGTGGCCCTGAACTAAGCAACGTACAGTATACCCGCAGTAAAAGAAAATCTGTCAAGTGGAATCTGCTGCCTGAATGGAGCAACTACCTGCGATATTATTGCTTTTAAACCTCAATACGGCAATCCTGTTCGTCTCATTAAATGAAACTCCTGCTGAATGGAACATACTTTCTTGGTTGCTTCTGGTTTATTGAGAGTCTAACTATTAATGGTAATTTAAACTCTACCTTTGAAGTGAAAAGTAATATGAGTTCTCAATAGACCGATCTCAGCACGAGTTGCACTATGCCACTGCGGCCATAATGCATGCCGATCACAATGTACCATTTCAGCCCACCGCTGCGTGTCGACATGCACAGAGTCGATATGTTGAGCTGTGTACAGATGGTGCATTTGTAAGCTGTGTTGACAAGCCTCAGTGACCATATGTGGATAAAATGCGATGGTTGAGTTCACATGCTTCGTGCCGGGACCTACAACAGCAGCCTAAGCAAATGACTTAGATTTTACATGTTCTTGAAGGATGCAAAGCTTTGACAGGAATGCGTGTGACAGTCAACGAAGTCGGACGGAAAGGCTGCGCTACTGAGCGCTTTCTCATTCAGTGTGTTGTGAATTCTGTGATTATAAGGCATCGTGCTTTAGCAGCACTCCTATTGCGTCAAAACAGGATTGCTGCACGGACTGGTCCACGACACCGAAAATTTATATCGCATATACTTGATCTCTTTTTCAAGGCGATCTCTACTCTCCGTGACAGATTGTATAAAAACATATTTTCCGGGCAAAACAGAGAAGTGTCTAAGGATACCTAAACCGACTTCTCAACAAAAGCGATCACAACTGTCGGCTTCAAGCATGAATGAAACATGCAATACAAACCATGCTTATGAATGCATTGTGTGTACAGCTCGCCCATGGAGTGCACGGCAAAAATTAAGCTGTTCCGGCATCGTAGCTAAGGTCACTTCCGGGATTTCCATATTTCTTTTAATGTGCAATATCACGAACTCAAGGTAAATCTGCAGCGGTGGTAGCAAAACTTAGCTGCGTCTGAGCGTGGGCTACTTACTGTACACTGCAGGTTTGAAACAGTATGCCTGGCGACGATACCAGTACCGAGCCATTGGCTGAGGCTGCCGTTGTCGGCGGGAGTGGCCTATGGCTTATTCGCTACATTGCATATGTCGCCAAAATCTTTTACGTAGTCATCAATCTATTCCGCAACAGGAAAGTAAGTTGAAAGTAGGATGTTTGAAGAACGAAACAAATAAAAAAATGCTCAAAGTCAGTGTCATGCATATTATTTTCCCCTGCCATCCAGCTCTCTGCTCAGTTTCCATTTCGCTCATCAAAAAGAGAGGTACAGTCGAATCCTTTCATTAGAGACATCGATATAAGAGACAAATGGGCACAAGAGACACCAGTGTGCCTACAGTAAAATACGGGTTGATAAGAAAATGCGTTGGAGGTGCCCTGCTTATAAGATACAGTTCATATAAAAGACAAGAATTGCTGCTTTGGGCATGCCTCTCATAAAGGGTTTTAACTTGATATACATGTATTGCAGAATGTTGCGCTGCATAGCTGTTACAAATTGTACACTTACGAAGGCGAAGTAGAACCTTGTACCTAAGTAGCCCAAAAGAGTTCTTTTTAAAACGAGAGAAAGCAATTACAGCATGCAACAAGCCTCTAACTCAGCTTGTACTTGACAGATTATAAAATTTTTTGCAGCAGTCAGTTCGTTAGGCAATAGTAAACTTTAATGAAGCCATTTGATGGCTACTTGGAAAAGTGTGGCAGGGCCCCTTTAAAGGGCCACCCACCAGGTTTGACAATTTTGAGCTGACAAGCGCAATGTCTAGATGAGGCGTTCATGATCATGCCTACCAAAATTTGCAACGCTACGGGTCGTGGAAACGGTTGAAATTTCAAGATGAGAGAATGCGACTAGAGAATGAGGGCATGTCGTGAGTGTATGAATGGCCCTACGTACACGGTAATGCAGTGACGGTCCTCTACAGAGACGACTATGCTCTGACGTTGCCTACAGTGGCACGTGACATGGCGAAAATGAAATAACACAACATGCATAGTTTATTTATTTGTTGCTTGAAGAGATTATTAAATCTCTAAATAAATAATGAGACGCAATAAGGGAATGCGAGTGTTCTTTTTTCTTCATTTTTTTACGTGAATTGCAACGAGATGCGGGGCTCATGTGCCGGCGTTTCGCATACGTTCGTGTCCCTGCGGCCGTAGTCAGCGCATCGAGCAGACGTCAGCCTTGGAACGGTCTTAAGCGTTCGCGCACTCACTGTGCTCATGTATTTTACCGCGTCGAAGCCAGCGTTTCCAAACCATACCGCAGAGACAGGCAGTAGACCTCAAAAGAACGCTGGTCAACAAGAACAAAAAAAAAAAAACGTCGCTCGCGTGCACGAGGGTGGGCTTATTCAAGCACGTCATGCGCACGTGACCTTTTGGTCGGATGCCGGAGAGGGTAGGGGAGAGATTTGGTTTGCGAAGGCTACGCGGAGGACTGAAAAGAAATCCGAGCTCGCCTCCTCTCATCCTTGTTTCGTGCCGCTTCTAAAAAACAGTTTTCTCAGCTCGTAATGAACCGACTCAAAAACTTGTTGTGGTCAAAATGTTCCTCGTCGTACACCCAACAACTTCCACGATCTACCGTAATTACTCGAATCTAACGCGCACCTTTTTTCCGGTTAAGCGAGTTCATAAATCGCATGCGCGTTAGAATCGACTGCGAACAAAAAAAATTACGGTCAATCTATTGCTATCGGCAAATCCAAAATGGCCGCCCCCTACGTGCGTCTGCACGCGTGTCGGCCATTTCTGCCTATGGGTTTCCCATGTGCGGCACTTCGTACGTGTGTTGAGGAGTTCGTCATCTAGTAGTGCATTAGCATCAACGGCGTGGAAGGGCCGACTCCAAAAACTCGAGTGCACCGCGATGGCGCTTTTAAAAGAAAAGTCATCGCGTGTGCAGAAACGGACGGAAATCGGGCCGCATCGCGGTCGTTCGGAGTTAATGAAACGTGCGTGCGAGACCGGCGGAAACAAGAGCAGAAGATTGTTGACAGCAAAGCTTCACGCAAAGGCTTCAGTGGACCACAGCAGGGTCGGTTTCCGCAAATTAAAGAGCTGCTCGGCGAGTATGTGCTTGAGCAGCCAGCGGCACAGCGGCCCGTGACGACAGAACTGTTCCAAGTGTGGGCTATGCAATTAGTCTTAGGAAAAGGTCTAATGCGGAGCCAGTTTCAAGCGAGCAGGTGCTGGCTAACTAACTTTATGAAGAGGCTAACTAAGTTTATGAATCTCCCCTTCGGAGGGATTTTCCCTCCGAAGGGGAACATGCATATGCGAAAAGTTTTGCGGAAGAGTACGATGAAAAGCTTCACAGTTTTCAGAGGGTCGTCCTAAACTTGCGGCGCAACAACGGCTACCTGCTTGGGCAAATCGGGAATGCCGATCAGACGCCTCTTTACTTCGATATGCCTGGCACCACAACCGTCGAGAAGAAGGGGGCGAAGCAAGTTCGCGTGCTGGCATCGGTCCACGGTAAAACTACAGTGACGGCAATGCTCTGTTACACGTCAGATGGGCACAAGCTTCGCCCGTACCTCATATTTAAATGGAAGACGCTCCCAAAAGGAGTCGTTTTTTCGAGTGGTCTGATCGTGCGGGCCAGCGAGAAAAATGGGTGTGCGTTGCAATCGATGTCTTACGTTGTTGGTTTTTTTTTTTTTTTTTGCTGTGGAAATCGGGTGCGCGTTACAATCAAGGGCGCGGTAGAATCGAGTAAATACGGTAACTAAAATTTGGTATGAGGCTTGGTCAGTGGCACTCACCAATGAAATGCGGTTTCTCAGTGCTTGATAAAAGGAACAGCTTGACTTCAGTGCACCGCATGATCCTTTGGTTTCTTTTATTCTTAGTTTTTTCGGAGTGCATTCTTTCTGCTGCCAGCTAGCTTGTCCTGCTGTCACTAAAAATTGGTGTGGATTGTTGTGCAGATGCAAAGTTCCAGCAGCAGAATCAACGGCAGGGTGCTACAAACGAGACTGGACGGAAAAGGAAACGCCATAGCAGGTGGGACCCGCCGTCTGACAGTTCGTCAGACTACATGGACTTCGATGCACCTAATGAAGTGCCAGAGTTTGTTAAATCTGGTGAGTTGTTTATTGCTTTGCAAGGACGGGGCCTAGCCGTAACACCGTCTCTTGAACTTGTTCTTCACTTTGCTGCTCAAGTGAAGCATTGTCCTTTATTCATTGAATGCTAGTAAATTCTTATTCAAAGGAGACCAGGAAGTTCTTGGAAATAGTAAAACTCGGAACTAAGCAGGGCCTTTTGAATACTGCATTTACTCTCACAACACTTGCAGGCCTGCAACATCTGTGACATTCGCACCACTTTGATGTGATTTTGCAATTTTTCGTCACACTATTCCAGAATCTTGAAATAAGTGTCATTTTTTAAAAAGCTGCCAAAAGCTGCCATTTTCATTCTCATCTCTCTTAAGCATGCTTTTTTTTTTTGTTTCAAAAGACTTTCATACATAGGGGAGTAAAAAATAAATAATGAAAATGGCTGCCTTTGTTTTATTACAGATCCTGGTTTAATTGTTTATGCAAAGCAGGTCTTCAATTCTACGGACTTGACATTCGACCAGTGGAAACAGCTTGAAGATCAGCGCAAAGTGAGACATGCTGCATTGCCTTGTGTGATATTTTTTGCGACATCAAGTGGTGTTAACATTACCAATTTCTCTTATATAACTTAATAAAAAATGAAATTTGTTTCCGGCTATTGGTTTCTGATAGACAGATACTAGATTTGTTGAAATATCGCGAGCATTTGTAAAACTTTATATTTTGAAACATTTTTGACTGAAAGTGGTACTGACATGATCATTTTCAGTTGTCGTTTGTTGCCTCAAACGATTGGCTAAGCCCTCAAGAGTCTGGAAAATGTACTGTTAAGCGCGAGTCCAGCCTGCGAAAGCAGTTACAGTTTGCTTTAAAAGGTGGCTTTTGTTAATAAACAAAACGGAGAGGTGAGCGAGTTGGTACTGATTCATTATAATCTAAAAGTAGTGCCAAAAAAAGACAAGGACAAGAAAGGGGGACGTTAGGGGCGGGGGGGAAGGAGGGGGGCTGCAGGAGGTCTGTTATTGTTTTGATTTTTGCCTCGCCTATGTTGTGCATGATGCCGTATTTACTTGCGTAATGAATCCACTTGCATAATGAACCCACCTCACACCATCGTCCTTCAAAAAAAAACTGTTTTTTAATATATATGTTCATTTTATGTCTATATGGTAGACAGTACCATTGACGATTGAAACAATGTTAAATCAAGCCATTATATCGCAAAATAGCTATGGAATAAAAGTCAAAGCATAGTTTCGCAACCTTGCTAAACAGTTGCAAGAAGCAAGAGTGCAGACGACATCAATCGAAATTTGAAAGTCACGCCTTTTGCGGTGAAGCGTCATCTGTCGAGTGCAGAAGAAACTTGTTTGCTGAAAGCGCCATGCAAGCACAGTGTCACAAAAACAAAGCAAAAAACAATGTGCGTAATCTCCAAAATGGCCGGCATGCGCGCTCATCATCACGGAGGTCACAACCGCACTGACTGCGCTTCGCGCACCCGCGTCTAGAGCAACATTTGTGCGCCGCCATACGACGCTGCGTTTTTGTTGTCGGCCATGTTGTGAACTTAGTTGGGACACCTACAGCGCAGGGCATGTTCGGCCGGTATGCTAGCTACACAGCTAGTTACGAACAGCATGCACTGGAGCATGAGAACTGAGCATCTGGACGGCACTTTGGCGTTGATTCGTGCGCGTTTGTTACGGGAGGAAACAAAAAGAGCTTTGAGCTACAAAAAAGCTTGTCGTGCATCTCACGGGCCAAAACAAGCAAAGCCTTCTCGCGAAATTTTCGCTATCAAAAATCCCGTAACCCTTTTCTCCCACGTAATGAACCCACCCTGAAATGGGCGTCAACTTTTCTGAGAAGAAAGGTTGGTTCATTTTGTGAGTAAAAACGGTATCTATCTTCTGTTCAAGCAATAAAGCTTTCAGTTGTGATTAAAAAACAGGGCTTGTGGCGTTCACTTTCTTGTTCTGATCTTTTTTTGCACTACTTTTATGCCATAATGCTTCTGTTTTTGCAGTACCCTGAAGTCATAATCATCGCATGAGCTTCTTCCACGGCTTGCGCAAGATGTACTAGTGACGTTTTCACAGCCGCTCTGCACTGTACTTTCTTTGGCAATTCACAAACGGCCATTTTGAATGTTTTGGTGATGAGCGGCCTTATTCGAAAGTACTTGGTACCTGACTTCATCACAACTGTTTAGAATGCTGCATGTAGTCGCCAGCATTGTAGACCGACGTCAAGCTATTGTCGATGTTTATAGGTGCTCAAGGGAAAATGGATTTCTATATCAAAATAAAATACTTCTCGGTATTGTCGAGCTTCACACTTGCTTAGAGCTTTCTTTGTACACAGTTGATTTGTATGGCAGAGTAAACTCATTACCCTTGTAAGTACAGTTAAGGGCTCGATGTAACGAAATCATGAAAATGATAAAATGTATCTTCCATGCATTTATGACCTTGTAACAAAGCATGTCAATAGACAATTTTAGTGCACAAAATGTTCTGCTGCTGTGAAGGAAGATCAACGCAGTTAAAGTTCCTGCAGGCACTGGTGGTCAAATGGTGCCCGCAGAAACTTCGATTGACACACAGCTGTGTGCTAGCGCAGCTTTAGCTTCACTGATGCTGATGCTATCGCACTTTCCAGTCGCCTTACCATGGTGCTTTTGTGTTGGATGTAGATGCGAGCATTGGTCGAGATGATGCAAGCCAAAAAGAGAGCCGATGAGGCCCGAGCTCGAGCTGGTAAAGTAAAGTACGAGTATGACTCAGATGAGGAGACAGACGGCGGCACCTGGGAGCACAAGAAGCGAGCCATGGAGATGGAAAAGACACGAGGTGCGTGATGCACAGTGTACTTGCAACAGCTCTGTAATACGCTCCTAGAATGTGCAAACTTGGTAAAGCTAATGTGTGAGTAATTTTGATGAACAGGTGTTAAGCCACCTTCAAAGTTACTCAGCAGCTTCCTGTAAACGCTGCTATAAGATCGCAACTATGGCCATTTTTGCAGCCGCAGTTGTCTGCCACCACTGCCACAGTTCGTAACTGCTATTGTGCAAAATAAGAAATTAATAAAAAAAAAGAGAAATACCCAGGTCTAACCTGGGTCCTCTCTGTGGCAGCCGAGTATTCTACCGCAGAGCCATGTAAGTGCTTGAAACTACGTCTTAAAAATACCCTATACGGACGGTGTTAGGAAGGAATGGTGTTAGCATATTGTCACGTGCGTCCCGCGAAAAAGACGAAGGCGACAGCGCATACGCGCATCTGCACGCTTTTATGCAGAATGCAACAACGACAAAGATGAGGAACTCTCTCTCACGCGGTTAACAAAAAGACCGACCCGCTGCTGTTTTCTCAGCGTCTTCTAGTACGACCTCTCTCTTGACGTCGGGACACTACGTTGTAGTGACTTCGCGCCCGTGTATTAAACTAAACGGCGTCATTCCAGTAGTTTCCTGCCGGGCAGTATTATAGGCGAAGGTCACATAAGGCAAGATTTCGTCCCAGTTCTTGTGTTCTGTGTCGACATACATGCAGATCATGTCTGCGAGGGTCTTATTAAGCCGCTCTGTTAGTCCGTTTGTTTGTGGGTGGTACGCCGTTGTTCTCCGGTGAGCTGTACCACTGAGCCTGAGAACCGACTCCAAAGTTCTGCCACGAACGCAGTTCCTCTATCCGTGATGAGAACTGTTGGAGCACCATGCCGAAGGACGACGTTTTCTATGAAGAAATGAGCCGCTTCTGCTGCTGTGGCCCTCGGCATAGCTTTAGTTTCTGCGTAGCGAGACAAGTAATCAGTGGCGACAATGATCCATCTGTTTCCTGTGGTAGAAGTTGGGAATGGGCCCAGGAAATCCATTCCGATTTGGGCGAATGGCTTTGCTGGTACTTGAACGGAATGTAATAAGCCTGCCGGCCTGCCGGGTGGTGCTTTGCGTCTTTGACAGTCGGCACATGTTTGGACGTGATGTTTTACAGCAGCAGGTAGGTTAGGCCAGTAGTAACTGTTTTGCAGACGGGACAATGTTCGAGTGTAACCGAGATGACCAGAGGTGACTTCATCATGGCAGGCTTCCAGAATTTCTTTTCGCAGTGATGCAGGGACGACGAGCAAGTATGGGCTGCCGGTGGGAGAAAAGTTTTTCTTGTATAGGACGTCGTTCCTTAAACAAAAAGATGGCACTCCTCTCGCAAAAATTCGCGGCACGTCTTCCCGTCGTCCTTCTAAGAAATCAATAAGCGAAAGCAGGTCAGGGTCACGGCGCTGCTCTTGTGAGATAGTGGCCGCGTTGATGACTCCCAAGAATGCGGCGTCCATAGACTCGTCATTAATAGCGGCAGGCTCAACGGGTGACCGCGAGAGACAGTCTGCGTCGGTGTGCTTCTTCCCTGATTTATAAATAATGGTCATATCAAACTCCTGAAGCCGAAGGCTCCAGCGTGCTAAACGGCCGGATGGGTCTTTCAAGTTAGTGAGCCAGCAAAGCGAGTGGTGATCACTGACGACCTTGAATGAGCGGCCGTACAGATACGGTCGAAATTTGAGAACCGCCCAAACCACGGCGAGGCACTCTTTCTCGGTAGTCGAGTAGTTCTCTTCCGTGCGAGAGAGAGCTCTGCTGGCATAGGCTATCACTTTCTCGGAGTTATCTTGCCATTGTATCAGTACGGCGCCCAGGCCTACATTGCTTGCGTCGGTGTGAAGTGCTGTTGGCGCTTCCTGGTCAAAGTGTGCCAGAACCGGAGGTGTTTGGAGGCGTTGGCGTAATTCGTTGAACGCTGTTTGTTCCTTTTCGCTCCAAAGAAAGGGGACATCCTCTCGTGTGAGCCGCGTCAGAGGCGCCGCAATAGACGAAAAGTTGGCGATGAATCGTCGGTAATAAGCGCAGAGGCCTAAGAAGCGTCTCACTGCTCTTTTGTCATGCGGTGCGGGAAACTTTGCGACAGCGTCGATTTTGTCCGGGTCAGGTCGAACACCTTCGTGGCTGACCACGTGGCCTAAGAAGCAAAGTTCGTTGAAACCGAAATGGCACTTCTCTGGCTTTAAAGTCAGGCCAGCCGAACGTATAGCTTGTAGAACTGCGAATAATCGACTTAGGTGTTCCTCGAATGTAGCTGAGAAGACGACAACGTCGTCTAGATAAACCAAGCATGTCTGCCACTTAAGTCCTGATAGCACAGTGTCCATTAAACGCTGAAAAGTGGCTGGCGCTGAGCATAACCCGAATGGAAGCACTTTAAATTCATAAAGACCGTCGGGCGTCACGAAAGCAGTTTTCTCACGGTCTCTCTCGTCGACCTCTATTTGCCAATAGCCACTTCGCAGGTCCATCGATGAGAAATAGCGTGCATGCCGCAGCCGATCAAGAGAGTCATCTATACGTGGCAGTGGGTAGACGTCTTTCTTCGTTACTTGGTTTAACTTGCGGTAATCTATACAGAAACGCAAGCTGCCGTCTTTCTTTTTAACCAATGCCACGGGGGATGCCCAAGGACTCTTGGAAAGCTGTATTACGTCATCTTGGAGCATCTTCTGAACTTGCTTTTGGATCTCCTCACGTTCTTTCGGAGCCACACGGTATGGGTTTTGACGGATCGGTCTCGTATTTTCTTCAATGATGATTCGGTGCCGTGTCAGTGGTGTTTGCCTGACTTTCGACGTGCACGAAAAACAATTTTTGAACTGGTGTATCAGCTCTAGTAGGCGCTGTTTTTCCGAGGCTGACAAGGTTGAGCAAATGTTGACAGACAAAGGTGTCGAGGCTGGGATGGTCGCCTCGTCCGGTTGCAAAGCGAAGCAATCTCTGGCTTGGTCCACGTCGTCGTAGTAGGCAATCGCGGTGCCCTTCTGGATGTGACGACGCTCGTTGCTGAAGTTGGTGATGAGGACTTCTGCCCGCCCATCAATTAGTACCAGAATGCCTCTCGCTATGGAAACACCTTGCGTAAGCAATAGCGTGTCTATTCGCTCCGCTATCACCTCCTTACGGCACGGCCATTCACACAACACCGACACAAGGCAGCAAGATCTCGGCAGGAGCATCACATCATCGGCTACACGTAAACGTTGCAGTTGTTCTTCAGTGGTGGCGTCGACGTAAGGATGGGAGGAAAAGGTGACGATACGTTCTGGGATGTTGATGATAGCACCGTACTCTCGCAGAAAATCCATACCCAAAATTAACTCTTTACAACAGTCCGGTAAAATGACAAATGTGGCGACGAAGTTCGAATCATCGATTACGAGCCGAGCGGTGCATTTACCGGTTGGCGTCATTAGCTGCCCACCAGCACTCCTTATGCTCGGCCCACTCCACGGCGTCTTAACCTTCTTAAGGCGGTCGGCGAGCTCTTGTCGCATAATAGAGAAGTCAGCACCAGTGTCAACCAGTGCTGTTACGTGGTGTCCGTCTATAATAACGCTGAGGTCGGCACGTACAAATTCATTGGCAGTAGTACTCGTGGTTGTTGTCGTCTTCGTCATCACCGTCGTCACGTCGTCTTTGTGTAGAGGCAAGGGGGTCTTTTTGGCGTCTCGGCCATTGGCAACCTTGCCCCCGGAGGTCGCGGCAGTTAGTTTCCCTGGCACGGGCTTGGGGAGCGGTTTCTGATGGCGTCCGCGTATCTTTGGCGATTCGGGGAATTCTGACCTCGTGCAGGTGAGGGAGACCGCCAGCGACGACTTGGTGAAGACGCTTGGTTGGTCGGTAGGTGATCAGCACCATGGTCACGAGGGTCTTCAGAGTAAAAAGAAGCGGGCCGAGAAAAGTTTCCGAACCGGGTTTCTCGATGACGGCAGTAGCGCGAGATGTGGCCTGGTTCGCCGCAGTTGAAACAAAGGGGTCGACGGTCGGCAGTGCGCCACAAGTCGGTCCGACGTACTGGTGGTCGCCGCACAGGTTCACGCTGCCACCACGGCAAGGTAACGGGCCGCGGCTGAAAGGGTGGTTCTTCTGGGGCAGGCGGATGACGGCGCACGGCATCAGCATAGGACAGTGGACGTGGTTCGGGTGGTGGCGCCGGTGATGGAAAGGCTTGCCGTAGTTCCTGGCGCACGATTTCTGCAACAGAAGCAACTGGGGGATCAGTAGACGGAAGGCCGAGGGCCCGCAGCTCTTCCCGCAGGATTTGTCGAATCATTTGCCGTAAAGAGTTTTCGGAAACGGCAGCGTTTTGAGCGGCGGCACCAACAGGCGTTTGGTCGGGCAGGCGGTCAAAGTGGCGGCATCGTTGCCGGAGCGCCCGCTCAATGACAGTCGCCTCTTTGATGAATTCATCCACTGTTGTTGGCGGATTTCGTACAAGGCCGGCGAAAAGCGGTTCCTTAACTCCCCGCATCAGATGACGAACTTTCCTTGCCTCGGGCATGTCAGGGTCAGCGCGGCGAAATAGGCGGACCATATCCTCAGCGAACATGGCCACGCTTTCGTTCGGCTTTTGCATGCGGGCTTCGATCATCTGTTGTGCGAGATCCCGTCGGTCCGCACTCAGGAACGTCTCGAGAAGCTTTTGGCGGAAATCGTCCCAGGTTTGGAAAGTAGGCTCCCTGTTCTCGTACCATGTGCGAGCGCTATTTTCCATTGCGAAGTAGGCACGACCAAGTTTTTCTTGCACGCTCCAACGATTCACCACAGCGGTCCGCTCGAACTGGTCGAGCCAGTCCTCGACATCTTCATACGGTTCTCCACGGAAGACTTCGGGAACACGAGGAGTCTCAAAAGTTACCTGGTAAGGGTGAGTCGTTTGGGCCGGGGCCGGGGGAAGATTCGCAGACGCTGAAGGGGCCGCCATGTTGGTAACAGGAGATGCCGTCAAGAGTTCTGGGCTTAGGCCTAATAGGCGCCGGCTGAATCGGTGTACTGGAGTCGCAACAAGACGTTGAGGCTCCGGACTGGGTGTACGGTCCCGAACAACGCTTTCTTGCATCAGGTTGCAGGCCCCAGCACCTCCACCAGTGTCCCGACGTCAAGAGAGAGGTCGTACTAGAAGACGCTGAGAAAACAGCAGCGGGTCGGTCTTTTTGTTAACCGCGTGAGAGAGAGTTCCTCATCTTTGTCGTTGTTGCATTCTGCATAAAAGCGTGCAGATGCGCGTATGCGCTGTCGCCTTCGTCTTTTTCGCGGGACGCACGTGACAATATATACTACCAGTGTGGTAAAAGAGTGAAATAACAACTGCGTGTTGCGCAATGTGGATTTTGTAACCAGACGTCACACAATGTGAATCGCATAACTAGTTGGTCGTTGAATGCTTCCAACTCATTACAAAAGGCTCAGCCATAATTCTTCATCGGCATCAGCCATAGCATGAACAATGTGCACATGATGCCTTGCAGTTGTGTTTCAGTACTACACATCTGTGCAGAATGGCAAATAAGGGCACATCGGATGCTTCCCTATTTCTTGAAAAGTATGGGGATTTATAGCATAGTGGGTGCTTGTATGTATTAGTTACCAAGGAAGCTTATAAGGTTCCTATGATTCAAATCCTGGAGGCCTCAATAATCTTTTTTCTCTTTCTCTCTCACAGACACGAATAGAGCGCGGTAGGAGAGTAAAATGCTTACCGCATCTCAGTAAGATTACTAAAAGGTCACTTATTCGTGCCAACCTATTACAAAGGGCTCTGCCATAATTCTTTGTCATCAGCTGCAGCATCAACAAAGTGCACACACAGTTGAACCCCGCTACAACGAAACTGGTGGGGCACGAAAAACATTTTGTTGAAGCGAAAATTTCATTGTAGTGAAATTGAAAAAAAGACATAGCCGACCTGAGCTAGCGGGGCAAGGGAACATTAATTTTCAAAATTTCAAGTCTCAGCTGCTTCCTTTTTTGTCTCATCAACATTCACACGCGATTCCCACACATGTATAGCATCTCCGTATTGAAAAGCACGCTGAAACAATGGCCAAAACGGCTTTCATGAACGAACCTGACAGTTATACTAACACACTAACACCAGCAGCTGTCCGCGGTCAAATAGTATCCGACAACGCCGAGATTCAGGTGGGGTGTTGGGAAATATTCTTAGCATCCACTAGTTGCCGCTGGCTTATCTTGTTGATAACGCAGATGAACAGCCGCTCTTACCAATGACCACACTGGCTAAGCGCGAAAATAACCAAAGGAACGGGCATCAAAAAAGGCATCGTATCACACTTCCACCCAGCAGCATGTAGGAAACAAAGCTTCAGCTTCGAATTGTCTTCGGCTCAGAAGCAAGGCAGTGGCAAAGGCAAGGAAGTCTCATTGCCCTCGTTATCGAACAATGGCGGCCTCCATGCTTAGTACTAAATGGCGGCGGTTTCTGGGGGTGCCATCGCGCGTTTTGAATTTTGTAGACGTAATTTTACCTTCTGAAAATGCATCAAAATGTTCCAGACTGTGCTCCAGCTTCTGCATGGCATTAAATATCTGAGCCTGGAATTGCATTGTCTAATTTTGTTGAAGCGAAACGGCAAAAAAAAAAAAAAAAGTGTTCGTTGTGGCAAGAATATTTATGCATTGACTGCTATGGACTGCTGACGGGGAACCAAGAATTTTTCGTTGTAGCAGAAATTTCGTTGAAAAGGCGTTTCTTGTAGCAAAGTTCGACTGAAATGCCTTACAGCTGTGTACTAGTGGCTACCTCGCTTCTCTGCAAAATGATTACCGTATTTACTCGCATAATAAATGCACCCCCAACTTCAGTCACCAAAATTTTGATTTTTTTTTCTTCGGGTAATGAACACACCCCCTACATTCCTTCGCTGCAGTCCTGCTAGCCGACACCTCCTGGTTCCTCCTCACCTGTTGGATCTCTTCCATTTTGCATTATTTTGCCACCCCCCCCCCTCGGCCATCTTGGCTCACTCTCTCTCCCTTCGTCTGTTGCTGCGTGCTGTATTGTTTTTCTTGCTATCTATGCACGGCGCGCGGGGTTCACGAACGGTGCAAGTGTTAGAGACATCGCAGCTGATAAGCACACAGTCAGCGAAGGTCATGAAACTGTCCTGCGAATACGAAAAAGTCCAATAACGTGCGCACTATTTTAGAGCGACGACCACAGCATTTTCTCTTGCGAAGGGTCATTCGTCGCTACTTGCGTCGCAAGTTTTTGGAAAAAAAAAAATCGCCTGTCCAAAAAAGATCGTGACAATTCCTGCAACATGGTAGCACCCCCGATTCTCGCTTTCCTTGTCATCCGCGCATTAGAAAAACTTCGCATGCATGTAGAAGCGAGGTGGTGGCTGTATCTTCTTATTAATCTTGTTATTGATGGTTTGTTTTGATGCTTTAATGATGCTGTAATGTTGGTTACTTGCTACAATGTTAATGTTGTTGTCACGGTCATCGTGCGAGGTTGCCGTGATGTTGGCAAAGCGCGTCGTAACACACGTTTTTGTGCGCCCCTCAAGATCACAGCAGATATTGCGGTTAAATGATTGCGAGAAAAGATAGCCGCAAAGCACATTTATGGCATGCGTAGAGGGACCCGGGGACAGCTTGCAGAAGATAGCGCCATTGACCACCGACGATGAGTAAAATGCAATAAAGAAACTGTTTCTAAACAGTGTACGCGTGTGGCAGTTGTGAAAGGCTAAGCGCCCTTTTTTTTTTTTTTTGCATTACCCCATTTTTTGCTCCTCCCGAAAAAGTTTTTATAAAATTTACCCCGCGTAATAAACGCACCCCCCCAACTTTGCTCTGATTTTTTAAAAAAGTGCATTCATTACGTGAGAAATATGGTACTAATAATGTAGGGGGTGATCCCCATTTGACAAGAATTTCGATTTGTGGAATGGTGGGTACATTGCAAGCGTACTTGTATTACCGTAGTATTTTTAATTAAGAGAGTTTACAAGGGATCTAGAAACACCACTCTTCAACTTTCGCTGTGATTGTGTAGCGCTTTCCACTCAGGCCTGGCGTTCTTATCTATCTTCTGGCCACAAAATTGTTTGCGCATTACAATGGAATAAGCTTTACCAACTCGTTTGGGGTGTTGATTCTGCTGCAGCCTGGGCTGATGAACTGACACTTTTGGGCAAGGGCAAGCACCACATTGGCGACTTCCTGCCCCCTGAAGAGCTGGAGAAGTTCATGGAAAAGTATGATGCCCTAAAGGAAGGCCGCACGCCCGACCTTTCTGACTACAAAGAGCACAAGCTGACTGAGGATAATGTTGGATACCAGATGCTCCAGAAGTTAGGATGGACAGAAGGCCAGGGCCTGGGTGCTGATGGCGGCGGAATCGTTGCACCTGTCAACAAGTATGTGTGGTTCTAACCCTCTGTGGTCGTTTTTCATGCGGGAGATATAACAGATTTTACTGATTTCTCTGATGTTACATGTTGTAGTTCTCATGCTCCTTCTAAATTTGCTCGTCAGTCTAACCCGGTTTATCCTGAACTTGGAATTGCTGCAATAAGTAGTCGTTTTATCACTAGATATTTGTATATGGACTTGCTCTTAAAAACATGCACTTAGGGACCAAACGGTTTTTATAATTGATCAACCAGTCTCTGCTGTTACAGAAAGGCAGAAAATTTTTTGCGGCTCATTGTGAAAATGGGGAATTGAGCGTCGCAGTGAACTTGTGACAAGAAGTTTTCACTTCTCGCATTCAAAGGTCTTGCTTGGTTAATTATCAGCCATCGTAGATGCCGAGAATGTTGTCAGAAAAGTTTGTTGCTCGAAAGCTGACCACAAGTCTTCATATGGCCTCCTGTTTTCTTTTTTCTTCTTCACTGTTGTTCTGCCATTGAAGAAACTTCTGGAAAGTGAGGTGACCTTGCTCGCAGCATCTGAAATATGTGTGTGGTGTTTGCCTTGGTCTACGATACCTTAGTTGCAAGTAAACTGCAGCGGGGCACGCGCCTCACATTCTTTAGAATGCCTTTGTCAAGCTTTTCTTTAATTCGTATGTGCCATATTTTTAGTGTGACCATGTTGATGCACTTGCAAGTGGTAGCCGAGAAAAAATAGCAAGTGCACCAATATCTGATCATTCCAACTCAATCGCTATATCTGGGATTGTTATAAGGATTATACAGTTCTGTCTGATTGCAATAGTAACAGTAACATTGAAAATCAGCTTTTTGATTTATTTGTCGTTACATCCTGTATTCTATTTAAAACTACAATGCAATGTAAAAACTGCCTAAATTTGCTTGTTGTCATGACTGGTAATTAATTGTTATAGCTATACTGAGTTTTAATTCTATGACTGCTTGTACTGACATGAAACTACTACAGTATGTTTGTGCTCTGAATTCAATTTAAGTAGCATTGGTGGATTAATCATAGATGTCGGTTTGGATGCATTTCTTGAGCAAGAAAATCTGCAAAAGGATGTTATTGTGTGTGTTGTCCCAACTTACTTGGGTTTCGTGATGCTGTTTGTGTACGCTAGTTTCACTTTTTTTTTTTACTTTTGCTTGGCTGTCTTCTATGTATACTCTCATTTCAATCAGTCAGAAGCACGTTTTTAAGCATTCCTTCTTTGCTGTTATATATTGTGACGATGGAGGAAGGTAAGCTTGGGTATTGCGCACTCATTTGCATCTGGTCTCAGACGTGTTGTTGAGCTGGTTTATTGTGCATTGTGCAGGGGCCTGCAGCCCGTTGAAAACGCTGGTCTGGGTCAAGGTCGGCCTGACGATGTCAAGGCTGGCGACGATGAGTACGAGGCATACCGGAAGCGGATGATGCTGGCCTACCGGTTCCGTCCAAACCCTTTGGTATGGCTCTCGCATAAGCGTTTCGCGGTAATTGTCGTGGCACTGCTACTTAAAAGCGTAAAGAATATTTTAGCTAGGATAATTGTCGCACTTTATTAACTCCGATATTAGTGATCACTCATCTTTTAAGCCCTTAGGCCAACAATTTTGTACCAGTAATTTGCACTGCATTGTTCCATCAAAATGGACCCGATTTCGCTCCGAGGCCTCCGAGAAAAAAGGCTTTGCTAGTAAACAAATGTTTTGAATGAAGCACACTGCACAGTAAACCGTGATGCTTCTCAACTGGTGTGGAGAGGTCTGTGCTAAAGGCACATATAGCAAAGAAGCAGTTGGCAATTCAGGATTTCTTTATAAGGTTCGATCAGCAGTAAATGTCCAATAAACTTGTGGACCGTACAGCGACCATATACCAGCTCTGTTTTTTAGTCAAGGTTTAGAAACACTTCAAAAATTTTTAAATGTGACAAAATCAATGCCTTATCATAATGTGCTGCGTCACCTAGCCCAGATTCACATATCTGAGAACTTCTAATAATTCGAACTTCTTGATAATTCAAACGAAATTCAAAGGTTCAAAAATAACGAGAGCCGACTGTATTTGAACCAGTGTGTATTGTCAATCTGCAGTTGACTGTGATAAAGATGCATGTGAATCAAAAAAGCTGCCTGTTTTTCACCGGTGTTCTTACTCTTTAGCCATCTTGTACGCAGTAGCTAAACTAAGCCAACTTTTCTTATAGTATACCAATTTTTTTTTTTGCGAACATTGGCTTGCTGATAATCCCTGACCTTCTTTGTTGCTTTTCAGAATAACCCAAGGCGACCATACTATTGATAGTTCAACTCCAGCACATTACAGGCCATGGTTTGTTCTTGTACATACTTTCAAGCTCTGCCCAAATAAAGGTGTCCTGCTCACAGTTTCATCTTACTTCCAACAGAAGGTCTTTGGAAGCTCTGCCTCTCCAAAATCAGCACGACAGCATGGCCATAATCATGTGGCAATGAATCACAATGAATATCCAAAATGACGTATTATTTTACAAGACGAGTCACAGTGACCAACCTTCTTGAAAAGTTTTAGCCTCGTAAACATTTTTCCCATTTATGTAGTTTCATTATTTCGAACCATTAATTTAATTGCAAAGCTCCTTGACCTGCTCGATTTGTCTTTTATATGAAGCGTCTAAATGCAATTTTTCTCACTTGAATTTTTACACTAAAAGGGAGATGTGCCTGCTGCCTGTTATTGTGATTCTTTAATAACGTGGCTTTCAGGGTGGCTGAGCACATTTTTACAGTGAAAGCTGTTATGAGATCACAACAAGGGTTGCATGTGCCATAGTTGTCCTGCCACCACTGGTGTCGTAACCAGCTATCGCACGAAATATGAAAACAACTAAGTAAATAAAAGCACTAATGCTGTGTGCCAGCCCAGTATTCTACCTCAGAGCCACACCTGATGCTTAGAATTCATTTCAAACTGGCCTTGGGCAGGCTGAAAGGAATCACATTAATATTCGCAGAGGGGCAACAGCTGCGCCAATTTGATAAGATTCCCTATTGTTGCGCAGAGCTGTGCCTAACCCGTGAAATCAGCTGGAATGGCGCCCAGTTGCACCAAAATGTCCAGACTGCCTCAAAATGTTTTTCAGGTGCGCTGACTTCGACGAGAAATGCACGCCATGTCGGCCAACTGCTGCTTGCGCCATCAGTAAAAGCGTGCAGACCCGAACCATAGTGCCTAGGAATATACTTGCCCTATGCTCGGGAGATGCGATCAGCCAGATGAAGTAACGATGCTGTGCGCTCAACAGTCAGCTGACTGCAGCGTATACCTATCAGTGGGACGGGGGAGCTTCAAGACAAAAATGCGTTGCTGTAGCCACCAATGTTTCTTGGGAAACGTAAATTTCCTAGCCTGAAAACGCGACTACGGCTTGTTAAGAACTGAAGCTGCAAGCGTATGCCACGTATTCCTTGTGCAAATAAGCCCGGCGTGCTGCGAATGCTGGCGTCCCCAGCAGCCACATCCAGTGCCTTAGTAGTGGCATATAAAACATTAATTTTTGTCTTGAAGTTGCGTTGTCCCTGCCACAGTCCTAACGATAGATATCCGGTACCGTCGCCGGGCCGATGGTAGCACGTCAATGTTACTTGTTGAACACGCCTTGCAAGAGCGCCGAAGCAGCACCTAACCCCACGGAAAAAAAAAAGTGTGGTAAAGTGGGGTGGTGGTGTAGTGGTTAGAAAATTTCTTTGCTTTGGTTTTAATGCTGCTTGAACCACCTTTTCTGCAGTACACCAGTGCCCTTTCGAAATGCTTATTGAAATTTAAAAGGGGATGTTAGCGCAATAGTGGGACATTGCACATGTTGCTCAGTTATTCATGCGTCTGTACGCCGCACAATTCTGAGTACCAGTATAATCGCTGATGTCTAAATAAGGTACTGGCAGTCATTTGAAGCTGTCTGTGACATTTCTGCTTCCCTAAAAAAACTAAGCTGTGTGCCAGTTTTTTTTTCTCCACCCTTACTCATTGGTTCTAAGAATCACCCAAATTTGTAAGTCGCGAGCTTGGCAAATTGGTATTTAAATTCGCAGTCTGTCAAATGATTTGACAGGCGCAGCGAATGCTAACATAGACTTCATTGTTTGCTCAGCGCGGTAGTTCAAAATACATACAACTTTCTTTGCAATAGCAGTGCTCATGTTCACACTGCACGATTTAGGTGATGTTGAATAGTTTATACATATGTTTTTTAATATGGAAGCCTTTTTTTTTCCTTACACTGCTCGAAGTTTTATATGTCATGATAAAGAATGCACGTTTTTTTCCCCATAACCTGCTCTAAATTTCGAATTCAGTGCTTCAAAAGTAAAATTTTGCTGCTTCAAAAATTGCTCCAAATTTTATTTTGGCTGTTGCACCTCTGTATGAGTAATAAAGCGTTTTAAAACAGCAAAGAAACAACCAGGCGTCACACAATGCAAATTGCATACCAAGTAGGTTGTCGAATGCTTCAACCCATTTCAAAAGTTTCAAGCATAACTCGTCGCCCCGCCACGGTAGGCTAGTGGCTAAGGTACTAGACCCGCACGTCGCGGCATCGAATCCCGGCTGTGGCGGCTGCATTTCCGATGGAGGCGGAAATGTTGTAGGCCCGTGTACTCAGATTTGGGTGCACGTTAAGGAACCCTAGGTGGTCAAAAATTCCGGAGCCCTCCATTCCGGCGTCTCTCATAATCAAATGGTGGTTATGGGACGTTAAACCCCACAAATCAATCATATCATCAATCAATCAAGCATAATTCGTCATCATCGTCAGCCGCGGCGTCAAAACATTCCTCCAAATTCCTTGCAAGTGAGTCACGGATGCCACACTTCTCCGAATTATGGCATAGTGGATGGCTCCCTACTACACAAAAGTTATGATGATTAATGGCATAGTGGGTATCTGGCAAATCTGCTTGTAGCACTTACCCGAATGGTGTTTGAAAAAAGCTCGGAGAATCTGGCCATCCAGCTTTAGCTGTGACTGTGCTCTATGCTTGGCGCAGGGGTGGCATTTTTTTTTTCCCTTATGGATGGATGGATGGTAATGACTGCACTAATTTCCCTAGTCTATTAACTCTGCTATTAATTCTGCTGCAGACTGCCCAAAAGAAAACATTTTATATTGTTACGAGACATTCGTCAGTGTCGGCTGTGTCTGTACTACAAAATGCACCAGGGTCAAGAAGGTGTGAAGAAATGAGGGATGAAGCTGACAAGGACTGTGGGCACTCTTCAGGCGTCTTATCTGGACGAAGGTCGCATCCACTAAGAAAATCCAGAGACTGTTTTTGGAAGACCTGTAATGTCCACCAAAAAGATGTGACTGGAAGTTATTAAGCTGGCTCCGGTCGCGTTAACGGAGCACACAGGACAATATGGTAGCTGACACAGCCCAGCAACAACATTTTCTTCATCCATTCTGTGTTATTTGGGCATCCGTGCCAGAGGGACCTTTCATACCTGTGGCAATATGTTCAGCAGCATAGTACAGCATGAGGCGGTGAAAACTAACCGTTCACATAAGTGCCTACCAGCAAAGGATCACTTGGTTTCACGTCTGTCAAGTCTTACAAGCATGGCAAAGGGGACATTTACTTTAAAGCAGCTAAGGTTACTAGCTATATGTAGGGGTGTGTGAATATTCGAAATTTAGAATATTCTTCTAATAGTATCTGCTACTCGATTCAATTCACGCTGGTATTTATTATTCGAACTATTTGAACTTTGAAGACAAATTCAGACAACAGTCTGATAAGCAGTGGCCCCTTTGGATTTTCAGCGTGCTTCATCCATCACTCTCTTGCTGCCTTTCAGGCTCAGCTAGGGTCACAAATGTAATAACTCAAGAAAATGATGGTTCTGACCTGAAAGTTGATGGATATGGCAGAGGTGGGGGGCTTAGTTAAACTGATGGTTATCGTGCAGCTCTGTTTGAGTGCGAAGAAAAGAAGCCAGTGGAGAACGGAAACGCACACGACAGGATGAGCGCTAATTTACAACTTTTGTTTATTGTGTGACTTTACAATACATAATATAGCTCACATTGTACACATGTACTGCACACATGACAACTGTAAGCATGTGGTGCAGCACATGTGACCAGAAAATATAGCTTTAAGCATATTATCAAATTAACAATTCTATATCAGCACGTCGCTGCACACACCTTAGTGATGGCGTATTTGCTAACAGCTTCGCACATTTTGCGACAGAGTTCGCCTCGATGATCTCTCGTGTCAACTGGTTTAGACTGCAGCCCAGAATAATACAATGGTCAAACAGTGTAGTGCATACACGTCTTACTATTCATAGCCAGGAAACTACCAGAAGAAACCTTGTTTCTTATACTGTAACAGTGCTCGTGCACACGATCATTGACACACCTGTATTTCCCTTATTCACTGGCTTTTTTTATTCAAGCTTCAACAGAGCTGAACAATCTTACCATGCACCAATTCGTCCAACTTACAGAGCTCAGTTGAATATTTTGGACCTGAAATTCGGGTATGAAGTTAGTAAAATTGCATGCTGCAACTTTTTCAGATGTTCTTGTATATCGACATCTTCGTGGCAGATTTGGAATTCAGGACTTGAACGAAGCACATATATCCTTGTCCACCACCCCATTGGAGCGTCAGCATAAGTTGAAAAGAGATGAAGAAATAGCATGTTTACCTTTCATGTGTAAAGTGTTGTCGGCAACACTTTGAACCAAAGCATGTGCAATTCGACCTCAGAATTTCCACACTCTTGATAACTATGATGCACCACCCTGCAAGCACTTCGTAAACCTATATAGCAAAAAAAATATCTTTGAGGTTGCTCTCTCATATGAATATGCTTAAGATCCTCTCCACTTTTTTTTTCAGCAATTTTGCTTCTCAAGTTTTTGGAAAATGTTAGAGAAAAATTAATTATTAGATTGGATTCACACTCAAAATCTTGCTATTCGCACAGCTATACCTATATGCTAGTGCAGTAAATTTGCGAAGTTATTTTTCTGGGCCTAACAACCGTCCTGTTTTTTGTTTTTTTTATTATTGTTTGTATGCAGTTGTCCGTGCATATGCGTCTCTTTTGACGTTCTTTTCTTTGCTACAGTGGCTGGAAAGGTTAGCGACTATACCCTTGCAAGTATACGCCAACTACGCAACGTTATCCTCCTAATATAGATTTTTAAAAGCTGAAGGTGAAGAGGCTGTGCTGGTTTCTTCCAATTACTGCTACATGACTGCATTGAATTCGATATTTGCTTAAAAATCAAAGCTTAGGTAGCTATGGGAACATAAAAATCATGTTGATGTATGTGGATATTTGTGTTCACACAAACCAAATAATTTGGTCATGATATTGGCAAAGGCAACTTATAGCAAGGTTTTTTGTGACAGCAACATTCAAAAGATACCCGAAGCCAATAAATGTGCATCACATTCTTTCACAAGAAAGACGTGTGTGGGGGGGGGGAGGCAGTGTTTTTTGGAAGCGTACTAATTCTATTGGCATCATTGCGAGGGTTTCTATGTGATAGTTGCAGCTGCGAAGTACTCTTTAGTTTGTGTTTCCTGGCACTGCATACCACAAAAATCATGTGGTAGGGAAAATGGGTCGGGACATCTCTGCTGCATTCGCATATATAAAAATCCCAACGATACTTCCATCGAAAATCCTACTCAAGATCTTTTGGCGGCAATTTTGTTTTCCGTCTAACCACGTCATCTCCGCAAGGACGATTTTAGAGCGTGCTCTGCACATCTCGGGGCATTTTTTCAGAATACTGTTTACTCTGACTTTCGCACAATAAGATTTAAATATACACGGAGGAGTATATTCTTGGCCAATACCGAAGGTGGGTATAAGCAAAAAATTTAGGATCTCCATCTACAAGTGCCAGCCTCCGCAAAAAAGGTCTGTCTGACAGCTAACGCGATTTTATTTTCAACGCATGGGCGCCGTCATCTTGGACTAATAAGCGATCGTTTTGCAGGTTTTTCTTCGTCATGATATGAATGATCATGGTGATGAAACGTTGAATGCACCAGCCCAAGTATTTTCATGTGGCCTACTTTACCCCAGTATTGTTTGTTTATTTGATACGGCTGCAAAAGTGCAGCGTTATCAGTCTAAGATGGCGGTGCGCAAGCGGAGCGTCGTCTAAACTTTTTAAAGGGTGCAAATAATATATTGTACAAATATTTTAGGTTTAAAGCTCAAGTTCTTTGTGAATAATTCGTTTACTGGTGTTTTTTTTTTTTGCGTGTGTGCGCATTCTCATCAGTGTCTTACATGCTATAACGAAGTGCGGCAGCAGCATCGTCAGCGCCGCCAGCTATTGCTTCTGTTCTCATTGCGCGTTTGCCGGCACAGGAGTTCTATTTATCATCATAACTACAGGTAAGTACGCACCGGAAAGCAGTTTTGTGAAGTTTCCCTTGCCTTTTGCATTTCCAAAAGCTCACTGAAGCTGTCAGTTGTGAATATTGTCGTCTAGTTTGAACCCCTAAGCCTGATGCTGAAATCGCCTTTTCAACGGTATGCGGTTACGGTGCAACGCTTCCAGTTGTGCATTTAAGGTTAAGTGTGTAAAGTGGACCGCCTGTAGGCGTTGTTCGACTTAATTAAGCATCCGCAGTGCGTTTAGTAAACGTGGATAGTGAATTGTGTGTTGCTTCCTCAACGCACGGTACGAGTTTTCCGTGTTCGATTTTTCTTTTCCCTTCACAGGCGGCTTGCTCAACTCGTCAGCCCTCACGATATTCGAGAAAGTGCCTAGTCACGCGTAGTCCACGCCATGTCTTCGAAGAAGAGGTCAAAGGTTGAATCGGACAGCGATTCTGACTCCGGTCCTGATGACGTAAGTAGCGGTTGCCGCTCGCTCCTCTGATGAATGTCGTTATTATTTTATCTTCGCCACGCCGGGTTGATCTTTGGCATGTAATAAGCCACTCTTGCCTGTGTACGTGGCATCTGGCTTCTTCATAGGCAAAACAAGCATACAGCCGCTGTTGCACACCTCGTACTCGTTTTTTTTTGTTGTTGTTTGGTTTTTGCTTTGCTTGTATCTCGTCAGACTGTTCCGCCACGAGAACTTCAAATTTAACGCTGCATGCGTATTGCGTTTTGTCAGGGTAATCGTTTAGCCTGTTAATCGTTTAGCCAGTTATTATACAGTACTCACCGACCGAAACGGGACATCGTTTCTTTCTTCGTAAGTTTACAGGTTGCTATGATTACCGCGTGATGTTGGTGAAAATCTGGCCGCTAAAGGTAACGTCGACTCTGATATGTCTTTAGAGCAAGGACCGCGTCGATGTAACAGTGTAAGCGCAAAAACAGAAGTGCGTGCATTACGTTGTCCTGAATTTTCATATTGAATATTATGCGTGATCGCTTTACAGATTTTGCGGCATGCCGCTTAAGGTCTCGAACCAGCTATGAAATTATATTCTCCGCTGTGCACAATGCTGCTGAGAAATACTGGCTCTTAAGATTTGTTCTTTTTTTATTTACTGCAGAGGAATCCTCCGCAAAAAAAGGGAAAGGCAGCTGACAACAAAGGCAAAAGTAGCACATCTTCAGGGGACAATGAAGATGGCATGTTTATGGTATGTAATTGGTGGTGTTTTTCACTTATGCAATGCCCGGGTCCTAAAACCGGGAGTTTCAAACCAAGGACTTTATTTTTTTTTTTCTTGCGCTCCGTCTGACCACAGTTGCTCGGAAGTAAGCGAACATAACACAGAATCGTAAAACATTGTAGCATGTAATTCCTTTGAGAGCCACATTATTTTTTTCGTGACTCTACCTTCAATTGCACATCACCTCAATGAAAGTGTATGTGCAAATAATACCAACTGTATAGTTTTCGACTGTCTATTTATTGAGCCTGCAAATGTGGTTGCACTTTATGTGTTGCAATAGGGTGTTAGTGGCCACATTAGTTTGCTTGCATGTGTTACTCTGCAATCTTGCTACTGTCTCCCAGTTTTAGTTCTTGCTGACTTTAAGTTTCTGCAATATCATTCCATTCATGCCTTCAGTATGAATGCTTTTATACAAAATAATGTATATTTTCTCATTTATTTATTTGCATTTATGAAAAGGAAGTCAACAAATGCATGTTTTGTGGTATCAGACATATTCCTCTATGTAAATTAATAAGGTATCACATTTACCTAACAATTGGAAGTGTTACTTGTAGCCTGTTAACACAACACTGTACTCCTTTTTAAGTGCTCTTCGATATTCACTCGTTGCCACCATCTATTGTGCTGTGCAGTATGTTAGCAAAATTTGCCTTTTGTAGGTGGTTGTTTGCAGGAAATTTTAAAAGCCGTATATTTTGGATCACTGGTGACCAGCTAAAGTGGCCTTGTGGCTTCGAAAAACAGCAGTGCAACAAAGGCAGTTTTTGTGGCAGCTCATTTGTTTTTGACTGCTGATAGCTAACATAAATAAGTTAGTAGAGTGGTGGTCCGATATGCAGTATCGCACATTGTTAAGACTTCGTGTTCTTTAGGTATCTTTCTAGCGCGTAATTCTTAAGAATTTCGGTCCAGATGCACGAAAACATTTATTGGTGAAGATGCATTATTGCACAATAATAAAGTGTCGTATGTCGGCATTGATCTTATGACAAAATGCTAGTTGTGTACGACTGCTTAAGTTACTTGTGCCCATCGGTTATGAAAAATTTGTTGTTCGCAGTGATATTTATTTGGTGCTTAACTGCAACTGCTTGTAAAATACTGGGGATAATGGCACAAATGCTATGCATATACTTCGCTTGTCGCACTTGTGTAGTGAAATAATTTGAAGGTGTACAAGAGCTAGTTTAAAGGAAATGGCTGTTTCACATTGTGACGTCCCCGCAAACATGGACTGAACCCCAGTCCTTTCAAGATGTTTACGCTCGTTTCTTAAACCCACGCATAAAAAAAAAGGAAAAAGAAAACCTTCGGTGTAATGAATGGGCATTCCGGAGTGGAGTACCTGGAAGAATTATTTCTACTATTCTCCCCCCCGCAAGCACGATGACCGGGCGGCGCCTTGTTGTCTACCGACAGTATGACAGTGTACGGTAGCAATAAGCCGCGCGCACCCTTCAGATTTGTGGCATGGGGGAGCAGCACAGCTCCTTTTGTTGGTTCGGGGAATGCGACCCTGCCGCAGCGCCTGTGCCGGGTCCGGTCTGACTTTCCGTCAGCCTCCGTGGCTCCAGGGCTCATTACTGCGTCCTGCGCGGATGGCCACCCGCGGCGTTAAATGACGAAGAAGCGGCGGCTACGGAGAATTTCGCGGGAGACACCGAGCTGCATGGAAACGTTGAGACTTTGTCTGGACATCGGCTCATCAAGTACCAGAAACTGGGGCAATCGGTTCGGCCGAAAACATTTTGGCACAACACTGCAAACTCCGGGCGTTGGCCATTATAGACGACGCACTTTGTCGGAAGCGTCGGGACCATTGTTCGCCCGTAATTAAAGTGTCTTCGGACGGCTCGCCCATCTCTCTCTGAGGCTTGAGTTTGTGCATTTTTACTTGCTCGGCTTTGTTTGGGAGAAGGTTTTCTATTGGTGTGGGCCGCGGGGGCGGCCGTCGAAGATGATACACTCCGACTGCCCGAGAAATGTGTCGTGTCAACAGTGGTAATTGGTTAGGTGCCACGGAGGGGCGGAGTGATCTCCTACAAAAAGGGACTACGAGACGATACGAGGAGAGTCAGATGTACGATGCATTGAGATTGAGATGATAGAAAGACTGAATGGAAAAGGAAGATAACGGTGCGAAGAGATAGCGATGAGAGGCGATGAGATGTTGACTGGAGCAAGGAAGGTACGATGAGAAATGAAAGTTAGGGATAGGAGGCGAGTGAATGGAACGTTACGAGAGAAGGCTAAGATGGAAATCACTGAGAGGCATGACGAAGACGATGAAGACTCTTACGAATGGGACAATGACCCCAGGAAGAAGCCCTGAGCCCCGACTCGAACAGCCAGCTCCGAGGCCCCCGTCAACATGGACCTTTCGTGAGACAGACTTTATGCACCTTATTTAGATTAGATTTGCGGGAAGGGAGGTGGCGTATTGAGACATTGAGGGTTTTGGTAACTGATAACTTCATCGTGTTTGTGTCTTCATGCGTTTACTTTGTATCGACGCACCATTGTATTGTCAAAGTTATTTCCCTTATGTATCCTGCGTCGCACGTCGCGAGCGTGTAAATCATGTGTTATAACTTTGTGTAGTAGTTGATGTACGCGGGTATACGATGTTTGCAGTTAGTAATAAATTAAACGAATCAGTAAACAGAAACAGGTCGTAACGTCTCTTACTTCCCGGCCCCAGCACGACTCCCTGTATGTGAGAAGTGATTGAGACACATAAGCCAAGAGGGAACCGGATAGACAAGGGGTTGAGTGGTCTTCCCTCTCTTTGGCGATCGTTGGCGTAGTGGGGACGTCTCAACATGTTTAGAACGTTATAAAAGTTCTTGTTTCACGAGGTATGTGTGCATTTCGAGCAGTTGTATGTACCTTGTCAATGAAGGCTCCTTGCGTGCTGCCATAATTGTCTCTGAACTGTTGTCAACATGCTTGAGCCCCCAAAAATACACCGCCAAGACTGTGATGTCAGCTTTTGTACTCCTGTGCATCAGCCCAGAAAGGAAAAGATTCTTGACTTAATTAAAAAGTTTTGTAGAAGTTCAATGCATTCCATATGGAGTTTTTTGTTGCTAAAAATGATGCAACATTTTGATTTTTGTCCTATTTTCCTATTTAATTGTGCATATCTTGAAACTATAAAAAAAAAACCTCTTTAAAGGTACTTTATGCACCAAATCTAAGCAAAATATTCTTTTGAAAATGGGCAGGAGGTTGCTTTCACTGCATTGTGCCGTGTAAAGTGCCATCACCTCTGCAATTTTTCACGCTGATAAAAGTGCCATAACCTCCGCAATTCTTGGTGCAGATAATGTCTCCAAAATTCAAAAATAAAATGCAGGAACAAGTGAGCCCGTGAGAACAAACCTTCAACACCTTGGTGGGGATTCGTTTACATTTATCAGCGTCCACTGCGAATGTGTTGTGACATGATCATTGTAAAAATCTGATGACTTAATGAAAATAAGCTGCTCTGTGTAGTTCCTGAATCCTTGCAAGAGAACCGAAATCCTTCATTCCAGAAACCTTCAACAAGGAATCATTTTTTTCTGAACAGAGCTGTTCCTGGCACGCTAGTGCAGAAAGGGCAATGCCATTTTCTGATTCTTGTAACCAGAATCGAGTCATTAATAACCCAAATGCATGTTCTGAGTTCATTTGGAAATTTTTTTACTGCGTCATCAGTTCAACTTAAAAGAACTAAGCAAAATAATTTGGATTAGCTTAAGTGGCACCTCCAAATGCTTTTTTCGGTGGACACAAGCTAAATGCTGTCTATAACCCTAATTGTGCAGTAGTGAAAGAACATTAGCTGGCAGTCATTTTATGGGCGAAGCTCCTTAAGGCGTGGGTCGGTCGTCACTTGTATGTATGCATGTCAGTAGTAACCACCTCACAGCGTATTCACGGAGAGAATAATGATCAGTGGGGCGAAGCTTCGGCGTGTTTTATCGGCAAACCTTGAACCATCCACTGGCCGTGTCCGTCGTCTGTCGGTTCGACGCACGCACGGACAGACTCAGATGCACGGACGAACGGAAGCAAGAACGGACTGATGGATGCTTCACCCTACTCATCATCGTTCACTCCATAAATATACTGCAACATTTCTTTTCCTGTTACTTTTTAATATACTACGAAATTTGTTTCATGCATTTAAAAAAAATATTTTCTTGATAAATTGCCTATTTCGTCCATAAACCAGTTCTTATGTTGGCTGTTTGCTGTCGTGCTAATATATTGGTTAGGGTGTTCATGGCTGTTTGCTGTCAAGCTAATACTTTGGTTAGGGTGTTCAGCCGCTAAACTGAAAAACATTGGTTTCATTCGGACTAGAATGGTTGCAAATCAATAGAGGCGATGTGCCAGAGGCCTGTGTACTTGAAATTATGCCCACGTTAAAAGAACCAGAAGGTTCATAGCCCACTATCATAGCCCACCACCATCATTTTTGCCATGTAAAACACTATTAAATGTTATTATTATAATTACTTTGTATGTTTCTTTGAAATGTTTGTTCTCTCTTTTGCCAGCTGGCCAAAAAGCGGTACGTCTCTGTGCGAGAATTCAAAGGGAGAGTCATGGTTGACATACGGGAATACTATGAGGACGGCAACGGGGACTTGAAACCAGGAAAAAAAGGTTTGGGAAATTTGTCCAATTCCAAACCTAGTTTTCTATGTGGCTTGCCTCTTATGCTAAATCGTGTGTTTCTATCACACAGCTGTGCAAGAAGTAAGGTGCTTTAATTTTTTGTAGTCTTCATTGTACTCAAGTTTAATAGCAATTGAAAGAAATAAGAACAGTGTGGCACCTACATTCTTTGCTATTTTGCTTTTTTTTCCAAGCTGCTGTAACCTGGATGATAAGGAAAAGCCAATATAGTCGTTCATTATACAATCAAAAACCATTGTAACGTATCTTTATTGCTTTCAAAGTCAAGAGTGTGGTTAAAACATGCCGAACTGCTCGAGTTTTCTTCAATGCCCCTATACATATGAAATCTAAATGGGGAAGCTCAAATTAATACCACAACCTTGTAATATTGTGGTTGAGTTGAAAGCACAAAAGTGTTCTCAAGTAGAACTTCGGTACATGGGATGTTGCATATTTTGCTGGGCATAAAAGAAGTTTTTTCTCTCTAAGTTAACAGAGGAACATTTTTAAAATGTTTGTGTTTTTTACAAAATACTACTTGCAGTTAACAGCTCATGAATGAGCCAGTCTTCCGCATGCATTTTCTTTAATATTCTCGGGGCTATGCATCACCTTTTGTGTGGTCAGAAAATGCTGCTGATTGTTAGTTAAGGCTCCTGAGAACACATAAGCGAAATACTATAGCAGGGCACAAGTGGCCTCGAATCTACACATTTTTTTCAGTCGGCTAGGAACGTTTCTTCTTATAAATGATGCCATACACGGAAATGACTATGCCATATACATAAGGGATGCTGATGTAAGAGACATAGGGGCATGAGAGGCACCAGTATGCCTACCTTCGACTTGGGTTGCATAAGATAATGCATACCTGGTAACCTGATAAGAGATACCTCATAAAAGACATAAATTGCTGCCTGGTGCATGTCTCTTACAGGGGCTTCAACTGTACCCCAATTCACGGTAATAGGCTGATGTATCACCAGTTGCAAAATTACCGAGAACGCCATGAGAGGTCGTCACTTGCCCGCATGCTTGTTTACAATCACACTGGAAGCCGCCCGTTCAAAGCACAAAACAACAAAAAAGTGCTGAAGGGCCATGACATGTCTGTGACGTTACTTCATTCCCCATTTCATCAATCCCTGCTTAGCTTTCAGTGCGCTCATTGGGACGAGAGAAGAGAGAAAGCAATTACAGCGTGCGACAGGTCTCTAATTCCGCTTGTACCAGATGGATTCTCAAAATTGTTGCGACAATAAATTCATAGGCAATAATCTCATTTAATGAAGCCATTCAATGGCTACTTAGAAAAGTTTCGCAGGGCCCTTTTAATCCTTAGGATGAGTTTGTTTGTGAAGGGATTTGGGCTTACATATATGTATGTGGTACCATGAATATAAGCTGAGATTTTGTGCATGAAAATAAAATCTACATATAGGCACAGGTCGGCAAAAAATGCAGAGCTTGCTCACCCATTCATCAAATATATTTTGCCCTTGGGACTCGCTCAGATTCATTAAAATTGCCCCGCCGCAGTGGTCTGGTGGCTAAGGTACTTGGCTGCTAACCCGCAGGTCACCGGATCGAATCTCGGCTGCGGTGGCTGCATTTTCGGGGGAGGCGAAAATGCTGTAGGCTCGTGTGCTCAGATTCGGGTGCACAGCAAAGAACGCCAAGTGGTCGAAATTTCTGGAGCGATCCACTACGGCATCTCTTGTAATCGTATGGTGGTTTTGCAGCGTTGAACCCCACATATGAATTAATCAGATCCATCAAAGTTTTCTTCAACTGCACTCACTTGTATTCAGAATCGCTAAAAATTTTCGCAGCCATACTACTCTCACTCAAGCATGCCAAAATGTTACTCATTCGCTCAGAGACACGCAGCTATATCCGAGTCTAAGTCTCATGGAGTTGCCTCATGAGTCATTAGCGTACAATTGTATTTTTCTAACATGGTGTAAATGTTCCTTAATGCCAATATCTTGCATAACCAGTGCTCTACTTAGTCTTTTGATCTCATACTATCAAGTATGAGTAGTTACAATCCAGTAATGACATTTTTATTGAGAGATGACTCACACGAGATATTTTTATTAATGATACCTGCCAAAGAGTTTTCAGAGGGCAGAGGAGTGCGAGGCAGGCAAGCTCATGAACCTCTTGCCCTCTTTATGTTTCAAAACTTAGGCCTCTGATATATAAATATTGAGCTGGAGTATGAATGTCGATGCTTTGAAGTATGTGCGAGTCAGCATGAGTATAAATGTGAGCCTACGTAATGCTGATAGTAATGCTGAAGTTGGGTAAATGGAACCATAAGTTGGCAAAAAAGTGTAGAGCACAGCCAGACTCTCTCAACAAATATATTTTGCACCAAGGGCTTACTCGGATTTAGACTTGCCGAAAAATTTTTTTTTCAACTGTACTTGCATGAACTCTGAAGTTTTTCTTGACGAAATTCGCTTGGCTCACTTAACAAAATATTGCTCCCCAGGACTTGCAGCTCGGTCTGGGTCTGAGCGTGTATGCCGACCTGTGTTTGTTTAGTTTGTTTTAAGGTTCAAGGTTAAACAGACTGGAGTGCACTTACTGGTAAATGAAGTGTGCTTTTGCCTTTTGAGGCATATCTCTAGTTCATCTCTAGTTCTATATCTCTAGTTCATATTCATGAAAAACGTGAATTAGCAGCTTTACTCTATTTCAAATGGTGATTGAGCCATTTAGTCTCTTGTTGGCATGCATGAAAATGTTCTTGATCGCACGCTTGAAGTTTTGTGTCGTTGAAGCAAGGTCTAACTCGTACTTTTTTGTGCATTTTTTACTTTCAGGAATCTGCCTTCAGCTGGATCAGTGGAATGCGTTAAAAAGTCAAATTGATGACATTGACGCTGCCATAAAGAAGCATTAGGCCTTTCATGCCCGGCTGCAAGTTTTAACTTGTCGCATAAGTTGAACTTCATGTAACGTTTCCCAACAAGCGCGTTGCATTTCCTTTTTGATGCACAGTCTTAACCATATCAGATTTCATCGTCTCATACCTTAATGTAAAGATGTAAGATGCCTTTGTGCAAACTCTGTAACCTTGTTTCAAAATGTAATTGATCTTTTTTTTTTGTTTTGTCAGTCAATAAAAACGTGTTGAGCATCTTGGAGGGTTGTGTAAAGCACACGTTATTTGTGTAAATATGGCATGAAGGGGGTGGAGGAGGGCAGCTTTGGACAGTCTCTTCGAAAAATGTTTTACTAGTACAACTATACCCGCAGTTTTGAGAGAGAGATCTGGAATGTCTTTTGAATGCATTAAAGGGACACTTAAGAGAAATAGTGATTTGGTTTACATTGACCAAGTTTCACTGTCATATGTTCATTATTAGAACAAAGAAAAGCAAGGTTCAAGTTTAATTTTTTCATTTCGCGCCAAAATTTTTGTGCGTGACGTTGGAAATTTTGAAATGTATTTTCTTGACCTACCAATGACAATGTACTTAATTTTCATCAATTTGAAGTTATGTAGGACCTAGTAAATTCCTTTCGAAATCTCCTACATCATGGTGTTTGGTGTGGGAATCTCGAGGCGTCTCCACCCGCATTTTTTTTCTCACGTTTTCTCGCTTGACAAGCGTCGTCTTGCGGTAAGAGTGGCGCCTTCGAGATTGTGAAATCCCTCTTTAATTACGCGCAAAAAACTGTTTTGCTCTTTAGTGTCCCTTGAAGAAAACATTCTCAAATAGCACACAGGGCTGTGATACAAAGCAAATGTTATTTCACTGCATGCAACGCGGTACATTAAGTCAACCATATGAGAAGTTTGAATGCTTGTGCTCTATTATGGCTTTAGAACTTGCTCTGTGGTGCTGCACTGTTCCCACTACCTTTAGGTCGCACTGTCCACATTCTGATAGACGTCAAATGCTCGAGGCCAATGTCCTCGAATTCAGGGGCACGTCAAAGAACCCAAGGTGGTCGAATATTTCAGAACCATTCACTACAGCGCCCCTTGTAATTATACTGCTATTTTGCATTCTAAAAGGTAAATCGTTAGTATTATTGTTGCGCTGATAAACTAAATCACAGATTCGATTCTTGTCACTGCAGCTAGGTCGTGAAGTGGGGGAAATGATTGAATATTTAGATTCAGTTGAATATAAGAGATCCTTGGGTAATTAAAATCGCTGTAGTGTGCCTTTTAGATAATTAGGTGTGGTATTGGCTTATACAATCTCTAATTTTTTTTTTTTCTGTGGATTTGAGGCCACTTTTTTAATTGTAACATGCAATGCTGATGTGATCACAAACATATGGCTTTAGGTTGCAACCATTCTTTGCATGTATTCAAATAGCTTCAATGACGCATAGATGTGACCATAGATGTAAAAGGTGGAACAATAAGCTGCATATAGCTGTTAGCATTGTTACGACTAGGTACCAGTGAGTTAAGCACAAACAAGATACGAGGTCATGTTGGTCAGAAGTATTCTTCATGGGGGAATCTCCCCTAAAAGGCATTAACACTGATTCATATGCATTGCCCAGTTCGCATTCACACGCATACACAACAAAAAATGCATTAAAATGCCACTCTGAAAATGTGTGTTTGGTGTGTACTTTAGTGGAACATATAAATTTCTAGCTCCCTCAATAACATACTGCAGGGTTCATGCAGGTCCTTGAAATCCTTGAAAACCCCTGAATTTGAAAAGTTCATTTTCAAGGCTTTGAAAGTGCTGGAATTTTTTGCAGATCCTTGAATTTTCTTTTTTTTTCAAGTAAACATCGCACATTTCACAGTGCATTATTTGTGATGCTATAAATGTAGCAGGTATTTAATTTTATTCAATGTGCCCATCACAAAAGAATTGAGAACATCAGTAGCTTTTGCTCGGAACCAACTCCATGCATTCCTGGAAACTCTGAAATGGCAGGAGAATGAGAAACAGAAAAAGAAATGTTGCATTAAGGAGGAGGTCGTAATGCTTACAAAAAGAAGAAGAAACTAAAAGCCACTGTTAAGGAATTAAAAGCTAGAGCAGACTCGTTTGCAGGACAGGCAAGAAACAATTAGTGACCTGAAATACGTCAAGCTAAACAGCCTTAGGAAGAGTGGCAAGACTGAGCAGCAAGATATAGTCGATATTGATATGAAAATTCAGAAATAGCTAGAAGAAAGCTCTTAGCAACAAGGGTTCTTTAGATAACTCTTCCTTAGTTTTTCCTATCTGAGTAAAACTTTGCATCTTGTGTCATACTGAAAGTGATTACCTATGGAACTTTAAAAAACTATGATTAAAAGTTGTCTAGAAAGAAAATGTCAATGGAGCCATGTTTTCAATGCCTGCTCCTTTTACTGTGAATTCTAGTTATTTCAAGCCTCCATACTTCCCCAAACATGTGTTAGTTGGGTTTCTAACAGACATTATGGTCCTTGAATACTCACACACATAGCCTAGAAAGTCCTTAATTTTTTGCCATGTAAACGAGCATGACCCCTGTACTAGCCAGGTTATTATCGTAGCTTACTCTTGGCTGTGAAGGCAAGTACACTTAAAGTCTGAAATGTGTTGTGCATATAAATCTACGTAATTACCAGTCATGTTAGTGCAATGCTTTACTACTTTCTGCTGAAAAAAAAAAAAGATGTATGCTCTGTATAGTGAGTTGAGCAAAATGAGAAAGCTATTGTTTTGTTTCATGCGTTGATAGATGTGCAAAAATAATTTCACTCGCGTCCTTCATGTTCGAGGTGGTGCTGCATCACAGTGTTCAAAAAACGTAACTTCGATTACGACTGCTTCACTTAATTTGTAGCGTGACCAATTCTAGGGAAGTAATTACGAAAAGGTATTGCTTATATTTGTATTATTTTGCTTGCATTGTTTATTTTATTTATACGTGAGAAAACATTGGCAGGTGTAGAACTAGCTGTGCCATCAGTGTGAGATTCGTACTGAAGAAGCTCCCAAAAACAAGAAAAATTAGGTCTAGGCATAGACAGGCTAAAGTTAAACCACAGCCTGTCGCAGACCTGGTTGTGACACTGCCGGTGGAAGCACGGACCCTTTGTCGTTCGGTGCATGCACGTCTAGGCGTGGTTAAAAACAGGTGGTGTGCAACTGTGGCTTGGTTATTTTTAGGGAACGGTGCGGAGGTATTTGAACGGACGAATAGATGTCTTACACTGAGCTTTAAAGGTTTCGCTGTTAAAAATTTGTGCAGTCTTGCGCTAAATCGTGCAAATCTGGTTCACAGCATAGCTGGTGGGCATGTTTCAGCTTGTCTTGTGAACAATCTGTACAGAATGCTTGAGTGGAAATTGGGCATGTGCCCCTTCATGGGGACAATTTTGTATCCACCACACACAACAAACCTCGACCATAGCATATCTGCTGCATAATAGTCAAATGCACTGGGCCAGTTACATCCTCTGGTGTATTAAGAATGGCTGTAGTGGTATCGCTGAAAGGCAGGAAACAGAAGTGGGTAAACCTTGACATTGATTCCTGCGCCATATGTGTGTGCATTTGTATGCATGCATGTGGTACATGCAGATGCAAAATCACAAAACTTCAGAGGAAATTTTTGAACCCCCCTTCCCTTGGCTACACCAATGCTACGTTTCCCCACACGAAGTGACGGCTGCATACGTTACTCATTTTTATTTTCTGAAGCAGCTTCAAGGACACGTGTCTCTACTGGCGAATTCCGTTGAGAGAACAGGAGTAGAGGGCTTGTAACACCGTGGTAGAGGGGTAGTGCAGGAAGGAGTGGTAGGCAGAGCACTGACAGCAGGGCCACTCGATCTGCCACTGGAATGCAGCACGCTGCCGGAGAGCAGGTGACGAGTGGGGAGACCATGTGATCAAAACATTCCAAGCCCCAGTATTTTCTGTAGGGCAGCAGCAAAATATGCCTGAAAATGGTCAGTCACATGTTCTTCATTATCCTAATACATGGTATGCTTGTGCAACGACGCATTCGGCAGACTTCCAGCTGTCAGTGTCATTACCAGAACAAAACAGCTGTGTCAATCTACACATGGTGACATGGTTGAACTTGCCGCCGCACTCGCCGGCAAAAGGAAACTTCCGAGACTGATGTTAAAATGGTCATGTGACTGTCGTTGACTGCGCCTACTCCGCTTTTCTGGCAAGATGACTACAAACTGCTTCTGGCTGCTAGCTCTCGGCACAGCAAAAACGCTCTAGCTCTACCAATGGGTGACAGCCAGGCGTGTAGCCAGAAATTCTTTCCGGGGAGGGGGGAGGGGTAACCCTTTTAATATTACCGTTTTTCGCTCTCTATGCTGTGGCGAAAAAAGCTGAGGGTGGAGGGGCACGTGCCTGGTGCGCCACCCACTGGCTACGCCACTGGTCCCAGTGCCCTTTTGTTCCACCACGGAAACATGCCGGCTCTGAAGACAGCACTTTCAATGTGCTTTTGAGTGCTCCTGTTCTTATACCGGAATTCATTGATGATTGATATGTGTGGTTTAACGCCCCAAAACCGCCATATGATTATGAGAGACGCTGTAGTGAAGGGCTTCGGAAATTTCGACCACCTGGGGTTCTTTGCACCCAAATCTCAGCACACGGGCCTACAGCATTTTCCAAATGGAATTCACCACGTTAAGACGGCTGACTGCGACGCATAATGCCTGACTTCTTTTGCGTCTCAAGCCCCTCGTTATTTATTTATTTTGCTTCCATTGAGATTTTTCGCTCATGGACAACGCCGCCGAAGCCGAGCTTGGAATATCTGCGACACTGGCTTGTAATGCTAATGTGTTAACTATAATCTGCAAACAAATATTATAAAGTCTTTTGACTTTAATGCATCTAGTTGCCATCGCCATCTAACCATGCGGCACCTGATCTTGATCATGGTTGTAGCGACGCCCCCCTAAACAAAATCCGTGCTACGCGCCCTCACCGTGCTTCTGGTTACACAGCAGGCGACCATGTTGTTTTAGTAGCATATAAAGTGCACTATACGCGGACGCCGTATCGGCAGTTTTAATCATCGAAGTTTTTCCCTGGTCCTGTGCCATGGCGCGGGCGCGCATCGAAGCGTAGCGACGCATGCGCACACGGACACGCTGGAGCTGCTTTACGTCGTCGGCTTCATCGCTTGAGCGTGCTATTCCGTAGTAGCCAAGCGCCAATCTCGCTTGTCAGTAGTACAGCAAGAGCACCGCGATCGTGTGCGCTTGCGCCACTTCTATTCGATGCGCGGCCGTGCCGGCTGTACTGGCGCTGCTACGCAAAGCCGTGTTTACCACCAACAGTGTGATCACCGCTGTACACGTTCAAACGCAGTGCCGCTTCAATGCTACGCCATGCTGTACCTCGATTTTAAACGACAGCAATGGTTCGCTTATCGTAGCCTGCAGCAAAACTTTTTACTGCTCAGCACAACAGTTCCACATGTGCTCCCCCCAAATCGGCGTGAGAGTACTGAAGTTGTTGCTTGCGAACGGACAGTCGTGAGATGAGATACCCGGACGACGAAGACCATAGACTGGACAACTGCCCACACTTCATCGTGGAGTTCGTGACGAACACTTCCTACCAAATGTACCTTTTTTCTGCACCGTGGAATCAAGTATCCGGTAAGTAGGCGCACTTCTCTTTACTCTGCTTGTGTATCTGGCAGTAGCTTCAGAGATTCGATGTAGCGCAGCAATGACTGGACCACTGTACTTTGTGGAGGATGTAGCACCCGGCCGTGTTGACACAGCTGTCACTCGTCGTCGATTAGTGTTAGCTCGCGCTATTGCGCTTGGGACTATTGACGAAAAGACGGCAAACAGTGAAATTAAAAGCGTGTGACAATGATGAATTCATAACCCTTTGCAGCAGAATTACGTTTGATATGTGACCTCTCATTGTTATACTCGCCTATTTTTTCAAAGAAGTTCGTAAATGTCGGCCCGAAGTATACAGTAGGAAGGGTGTTCGTCTACTGACCTGAAAGTCGCGTGTTCGAACCTGGCCGCGGCGGTCGCATTTCTACAAGACGTACTCAGATTTCCGGAGCCCTCCATGGGCTACAGCGTGCTTCATAATCAGATCGTGGTTTTGGCTCGTGAAATCCCTGATTTTATTACAATTACTATTATGTTTAGCGAGAATGTCGTAGTGCAGTATAAACGGAAAGTGTCAGGGGACGTATAAATAGCAGCAAAATTGTGCCACGTCGTAGAGGTGCAGTTCATACAGCACTAAAAAAAAAAAAGGCCCAGTATCTGCATTTAATCTGTAAATTTCGTGGAATGACGATCGTCTTGCGTGTGGATAAAGTGAACAAGACACCTGTTTGATGTTCTGCGCAAGAAAATCGGTGAATGGTATTCTGGAGGCGCTGCGTTAGAGTGCCTCGAGCCTGCAGCGGAGGCGAACAAGCGCATCAAGTCACGCGTCACACGTGAGACATGAGAGCCATCTGGCAGTTTTTTTAGAAAACAAAGCGCGTGGCTCTGAGACGGGTGTGCGCGCCCATGCATCTCACAGCTTTACGCTAAGGTGCAGAACGCAAAACGACGGGTAGGTGCCACCACCGTCTCGTCTTAGCAAAGCGTTGGAAACACTCGCCTTTCCGTGCAAGCGTTGCATGGTCAGCGCAGCGTGATAAGTGCTACGGTCCTTAAAATTACCTATGTATGCTTTTTCCAGTAAAAGACGCACATGCAGAATATATACGTGTTGTTATGGTGCCCCAGACATGCGCAATAACTGCTTTCTAATTGACAATTACACAAGCATGAACGCTCAACCTTGAGCAACATTGGTGGGCGCTGCGGATGGGGTCGGCCGTTTCAAGTACACGATACCGTTAAGAGTGGACAAACTGACAAATGTACAGACAGACCAAAACTTTTGCGTCGAAGGTACCCAAGAAAGGCTATCTTCTTTAAAAAGCGAGTTTCGCAAGCCATCTGTCCCGCGTGTCACCTTCCTTTAACATAATAAACGAAAGAGAGGTGCTTAACTTGAGTGGCCGGCACTTACACTTGCATGCTTGTTGCGGCCACGCCCCGTTTACGCCTATACATTTAAATGCCCTGGAAAAAGCTGTTCAAGGCAACGTTCTCGATTCCCTAACACCCAGAGTATACTTTTTGCGCGTGCACAACAATTGCACAACCTGAACACCTCGATCTCAAAATTTTAGTGAAAGTGGTACTTCAGGAAATTGAACTGAACCTGGTGATATGCACTGCATGTAACTACAAACAGATGAAGATCACGCGTGCGCCTCTGCAGCAGCTTCTAGTATACGGTGTGCTTTGTATATAATCTTATCGTGGTTTTAGAGCGCAGAAAGCCGAAATTTCATCCTTTCTAAAGCTTTTGGGTCCATAAGTAAAGCAACTGATAACGACATGACCATGAGGCTTGATTTTACATGTATGACAGTGAGGCGCGCGTGGCTTTGTAATGATAAGGTCCATGGATGAATCTAGGGACATTATGTAGTGGTTGCGGCTGCGCAGAAAAGGACGCGTTGCGTGTGGTAACCATTCATTTGGTCTTAGTTACGGCGTTACAACTTTACGCATTGCACCTTCAGCGTCTTTTGGCGCTACAAGAAATAACAACAGAAGTCTGACAGGTACCTGATAAAAGCGCACAATTTCGTCAGGCGCATTTTGCAGGCGATTGTATATTGGCGAAAATCGCCTCTGCTTTGCTGTCGTGTAACTTGTTTTCGAAAGAAGCACAATGGTTTTGAGCCGTACCCTATACCTTCACGACTGAGAACTACTCAATGTACAAGTTATAGAAATTTACTGGAGACACCACATAAGTAAATCCACGGATCTTCTTGAAAATTTTAATAATAATGGTAGACTATTGTCATTTGGAAAAATGACCATAGGTAGCGCTCTGATATCAAACAGCACCTTGAAAAAAATTCTGAAAAAAAAGGCAAATCTCACGTGCAGTGGGAATCGATGATATGCGAAGCACGAAACAGGAAGGTTGATATGTCACTCTAAAATCGATTGATTGATATGTGGGGTTTAACGTCCCAAAAACACTCGCCGTAGTGAAGGGCTCCGATGTCACTCTAAAATCACCGCAACGTTATGAGGTGGAGGTAAATTATGCCGTACACTACTTCCATGTCATGATTATCATGTTTGGATGTGTCGTTTACCTTCGTAAACTATTCACGTCATGTGATGCCAAATTTAGTATATGTGAACCTAGCGAAACGCCCACGAGCACTCTATGAACGTGAAATGTTGCCATGTTCTTAAATGACACGCGTGTTAGGATTATCATGTTTGCACCAGTCATATACCTTCGTCATCAATTGACGTCACGTAACACCGAATTCGGTATATTTGGACCTAGCGAAACGGCCGCGAGTGCATCATGAAGGGTCCAATATACTCCAACGTAACGTTGACGCACGCGTACGCTGAACTCAGCGACGCTAAACGTTAGCAAAACGTGAGAACTCTATACACCTTTTCACAGGAAGAAAAAAAAAACACCACCATGATGGGCTGTGCGCGGGAGTACAAAGGCTAAGGGCGCAGCGTTGCCAGTGCATTTTCGAGGGGACGCACCAATTTGCACAGCCCAAGGAGGGCTATGGCGGCGCCCAGAGAGGCGTTTATGAAAAGGTGAATAGACTGACGCCAAACGCGACCAGCGTCCGCCGGCACGGCCCGATGCCAACTGGCGCGAAAAGCGACATGCTGCATTTCACACCCACTACGTTACCCAGACAGCACTGCGTCTCCCTCTTTTCGTGACGGAGGGACGCTGGATGCTATTCTAAGTGGTGTTGGGGGAGCCTGCTGTGGGTGAGGGAGAAAGTGAGGTCAGCGCGCACCCGCGAAAGAAGCTTGTGAGAGGAGTGTGACGTGACCTATACTTGGCATCGCTCCAACACCTGCGGCGAAGGGAACGCGTTGTGGTGCGTTCGTACGGACGCACGTACGTATGGCGTTACAACGTGAGTACCTAACATCCAAAGGCTTTGCAATGGCTTAGCTCGGCTATGCCAGGATATACATAGTGTGAGCTACAGACGTACGGATGGACGGGCGGGCTTGTGAGAGAGCCCACGCGAGTCAAGCGCCAGCCCACCAGCGACACGTCAGTGGTGGGCTGGCGAGCTTCCAGGGCTGCTCCGGCGCGCCAGCAACGCGCCGTGCGACGCCTAGCGCTTGCTCAGAACTGCTAACCGAAAGCCTCGCGAAACTGTTCAATCTCGGCCAATGTAGCTTACGCTACAATAATTGTTCCAGGATCTTCCGGGGAGTGATGGAGAGGGCAGGGGGGGGGGGGGGGGGGGGGTAGGTAGAAGTTCTTGAGAAACCTTCCACCACTTGCAGTGGCACGGTGCTGGTGCTCCAAACATTCGCACCGCCACGCTGGCTGCGCTACTTAAGGCAGGTTATGCGAAACCTTGTGCACCAGGATGCATGCCATTACCCACGCCTTTTTCAGGAACGAATCTCCCTAAGGTCGAGATTGTCCGTTGGCGTGCGCCGTAGCGGCCGCTCACTACGTCGATGACGGTGATGCTGGTGACGATGAAAAACAAGTGCGTTCCAGACCACACATTCTCTTTCTGCCACAACGGCACAACGCATGCAAGGTACCGAATACACGCCATGTTGACGACGCTGATGATGATCAGGCTGCGACTGGCTTGTGAAGTAGATGCCGTCTATATGCTCTGCGATGCATTTCATATGGCTGGAAACAGCCAGCCACCAGGGGATGGTGCCCGCACCTCGTCATTGCCAACTTCAGGCTAGATCCGAATCCGATAACACAAAACAGTAATAATTGAAGCAAAACGCAATTTACAACTTGACAGAACATACCAGTTGTGAGAAATAAGCATTGCATATAACCTCACACCACTTGACACTCATTTACATGCATGAGTGGTCAATCTCGCAAAGGGATTTACGGTAGAACCGAATGGTCCCACATCTTCGCCCACTCATCATTAATAACTTCGTGAATATGCTGTGTTTTTTATAGAAAAAAAAACACGACAATGTTTCGATAGCTCCGCCTTTTTATTGCGTTTGAGCAAGCGGAGCTGCAGCTGGTGTAGGAGCTGTTGCAGTTGTTGTTGAGCGTGGAGATCTTCCTTGAGAGTCGTACAAGCGGTGTGCGATTCGCCCCGAGGTCTTACCCGATGGCACAACAATGGGGTTGGTTGTACTGGCATACCTGTAACCAAATAACATGGAGGGCATGAGTTCTCTGTATAATAGTATGAATATTTAATGAAACATGCTGCACTATAGTGCCTATTATACAACCGATAAATCAATTCTGTACTTTCTGGTCCTTCGAACAGTGCCGCAGTCCTTTTCTAACACAATGCAAAGAGAATGTTTTGTGCAGTGTGCTTGTTTATATACTTCAAAGCGAGAATATCAAACATCTGAGAAGTTTCGTGTGTATTTGTTGTAGAACGTAATTTTTTGTGCAAACAAAAATTTAGTTCCATATCTGGCAAAATGTTTTGTTTGAGGGCTATCTACTCGGTAACCTTATAATGCGATCCTTTGACATACTAGTGCATGGCTTGTAGAATGTTAACTACTTTTCACATAATGCGACGACTAAAATAACAGAAGGCACAGAAGTAAGAAACACTATAGTATCCACCATTCCTCTGATGAAAACGATGTCAGAGCTTCTGCTCTTGTGGTGTTTGAATGTGGAACTTGTCTTCTCTTGTCAAACCGTGGTCCTGCGTCCTGTTCTTTCCGCGTTGCGACACTAGACCCTGTGCTCCATTCTATACGTTCGACGCATCGCTCTGTAAAAAAAGCTGAAAGATTATGGGTTACTGAACAATGACCTTCCACCTTGTTCTCGCTCTTAGAACGCCTGCGGGGGTGCGAATATATATGTAAGCCGTTTCATGAGTACAAAGAGAAGGACGTCGCTCGTCCATTACTCCGCTTATTTGGCGAACCACTCGTATGCGCTTTATAATCTAAGTGTTCATGCATGCGTTTAACATCTTATATCGTTGTTTGTCAACTGGCCCAGTCGGCGCGGATATACAGTAATAGAGGGCATAATCGCGCGGATATACAGTAATAGAGGACATAGTGTATACGCACCGTTTGGCTGCGCAGCAGATGTTGGAACGGCTGTGTTTGACCTGGCGGCAGCAGTCCGAGGAGGATCACTTTCTGCCGAAGCGCATGTGTCCGTAGTCGTCGGATCGTCCGAACCTCATATGACCGTAGTCGTCCTCCTGCCGCTTGGCGAACCCAGAGGCGAGCAGGACAGGGTCGATCATGTCGGCGGTGTCCAGGTCGGCTGTGTTTCGACTGTCCGTGTCGCCCGCTGACGCGGCGGCTGCTGCGGCCGCCGGTAGCATGCTCTTCAGCCAGCGGCCCACGTTGATCCGGTGGCGCTGCTGCTGCTGTTGCTGCTGTTGCGAGGAGACCTGGTTGGACGCCGAGTAGCCCAGCGCTGAACTCGCTGCGGCAATGATGGCCACCAGAACGAACAGGAGGAAGCGGGCGGAGAATTGCATGGTGCTCGACACTGGAGGGACTGATAGGGCGATGATGGTCCGCGATTGTCTGCGAGAGGCAAGATGTCTCATTTTGAGAAACCTATTACTGTGTAACTGGTTGCTTGTGACAGCAGAAGTTCGAAGAGACACCGCAAAAGTGAACAGTGAACTTTGCCTGGTGGTAAGAAAATTGGACATGCCGGAAATATTTATGTTGAGAAACTGGTTGAACGTAATTGACTACTTGTCTAAGTTGAAGCTCGAAGGGACACAACAAAAGGAAACTGCGAACCTTGAGGAAGCCTTTCATGGTTTGGACGATTTTATGTAAACGCATTCAGCCGGTAAAGCAAGTGCTATAAGCCACTTACGGACTATTTAAGCTTTATGCGTCAAGTGTGTAATTTATTACAATACTTAAGGCGTGCGAATGGCTACAGATCAGAGCAGCGCAGCCGAACGCGTTTTATTTTTCTGGCTTCCTTCATACGTAAGATTGTTCCATTCAGCGTTTCACTGGCGACTGACCTGATTGGTTCCTATACTGGGATGTTCCCGTGATACAAGCAGTGGCTCTAGGCCAACTACAAACACATTCCTGAATCTATTTCATCTGAAAAGAATATTTCCCGACGTATAAAAAGAAGATGCATGTAAGATATGCAATGAGGAAACTGCTACACTCAAACATGTGCACATACTATAAGAATACTATGTTCAACACACTAACAGTTGAACTCCGAGCTTTGGCGAACCTGGGACTGAGGTAAGCCACCACTGGACCCTCTAGACTCGCGTTATCCGTACTTCTTACAGTAAATATATTAATAAATGTCTTTCGCGACGACCACCTGCGCAGATACGACCTACGCAACCAACTCTGGGCCGTACAGCAGGCCAGCAATAGAGCTAAGACAAGACCTTGACGTCCCATCGGAGAGAAGGGTCTGAGCCTGGGTCACTTAGAACACTGCAGGACAACCTAATAAAGTTACAATCAACTAATAAATTAGTGTTGTGTGGAGAGAGCGGCTTAGAGAGAGGTATGAGAGGGAAAGAAAGAGAGGTTAACCGGAACTGAGACAATTGGCTGGTCAGAGCATTGTGAATGTAACACATCTATTCTGCAGTATTTTGCAGTATTAGCGCGATCAGCGAGCCTGGAAGAACATCGTGGGTGCAGCACACGCATTCTACTATAGTGTATGTACGTGCGTAACCACTCGAACGAGCTCTGGGACTTAAACGAAGTTGCGCACTGTCATCTATCGACCTGAAGTGAATGAGAAAGGCTATATATATGTATATTGGTTGGTTCAGTGCTACAATGCGATGGAAACGTAACTTTGACCATTAAGGTGGCGGTCCCACTCCAGTGGCAAGAGCTCGACATTTTAGTCGTTGTTTACTGGCTCACTGTGCTTGCTCTGCTCAATGGAAGAATATGAGTTCTATTGCATTAGAAAGTTTACGTTCTCCGCTTTCTAATGACAACTAGTATTTTCGCCTAGTCTGGAGTGTTATTTCATGGCAATTAAAACAGTGTGAGCAAAAAACAGCGTTTTTGCTGTACAAGCCTCCGTTGTACTGCCAGTGCAGCAAAACTGTCCAACATAACGAAATGAAATTTGCTGAGCCTTTTAACGAAGCGTTATGCAAGGTTTCTATGAAGAGATATTGCCAGTAAAGCAATTAGAAATTGATGCACGCTCTAATAAAAATGGGCAAAAGAAAGAAAGTTTATGAGTAAATAACTTTTTTTTCTATTTTGTGCAGAACAACAATATTGGATGGGTTTCCAGGCTACAATGTAAATTATGTGTACGCGAAGTTGTTTTGTGTTCTGATGAACAGTTCTTGAATTATTACTCCTTCAATACGGCAATTTATGGCGCTACTTGGTCAGGCATTACCGACGAAAGGACAACACTATCCAAGCTGAAACTCTGAAATCTTCAATAATAAATCAGCAAGCCTTTCCCTAGGTTTCTATGAAGAGAAAATTGTCGTAAGTTAATTAGAAAATTTGTAGGACAGCAGTGAATTTAGCTCATTTTTCTGCTTGCCAGGTTCGTGCAAATTTCCTTTTTTTGTCTTTTGTAGGCTAATTCACAACAAGTAATGCACATTAGCAGGACCATGTAGTGTCTTGTAATCACCAGTACTCACTAACTTTACGAAGCGGTGCTTGAAACAAAAGATTTTTCAAAAATAATAAAGCTCGCAAACACTTTTTGACGGTGGCGCCATCTGTCAAAAAAAAAAAAAACATCACGTTGTTTCACGTCAGTTCTGACGTTCGTCAAAAGTGGCGCTTCTAAACATAACTAAGCCGCCAAAACACGGATGGACTTCTTCAGACTTCAGTGGCTAAATCCTGCTGAAAAAGAAAGAAAGAGAAGGAGAGAGAGAAAGGAAGAAGGGAATAAAGCGTGTTGCACTGTACATCAGGAATGCATAGCCAGCAGGTTAGGCTATTGTGCCAAAGATTCCAGGAATTGCTTGGTTGCTCGCCTTTGTACTCAGGTGACTGTAGAAGCGTTTTTGAAGGACACAAAGAACTGGACCTTGCCTCCCCATATTTGTGAACCGTAGAACATTATCTGAAGCGCGCATTCCCATCGCAGGGAGGTGACGAGTGTCTGGCAGTGTATGTGTGTTTGAATATTTCACGTGAAATTTTGGTGATCTGTGACGTCATAAGGTGACGTCAACCAACGATTTTTTTTGTAGCACTCACGTAGATGGCGACGGGCACTTTTCGCGCTAGATGAGGCCTCTAAACTTTCCCAACCATGTGTACTGTGCTGTTTATTTTGTAGGGGAGCGCGAATATTAACTTTTCACATTGAATCGAATACTGCCAAAGGCAAATCAACTTAATTAAATACCTCCTTTTTCGATTAGAAATCTAATCGAATATGGTATTATTAGAGTTCTTGTTCAAGGTTCGCTCTAAGTTCATTTCCATAAAAGTTATTTCCGAAGCACACCAGGAAAGTGCTGCTGTTTGCGTGATAGTTGTATGAGTGGAGTATACTTGGGGAAGCAACCTAACAAATAGACATGGTCACATGGCCGATTGACAGATAGCTCTAAAGTGTTGAAATAAACCCATACAGTAAATAATTTATATATACGCATATACGTATCTTCATTATTTCACTGAGTGACAATCACTTATCTACAAAGTATACAGTCACATGTAAGCAGTGTTCTTTGAGTTGCATTGCTTGCTTCACGTGTTCGCTTGTGAATAAAACAATTTAGTTGCTTAGGCGGTGGTTGCAAATGAAGCACGGCTTTCTGTTTTACGTGGGACGCACTTGTGCTAAGCGATACACAATAAAGGGGTGCATTATACAAGCATCGATATATGACTACTACGAATACTAATGTGAAAAAACGGAACTGCGACTGTTGTGAATTTATCTGAACTAGATGATAAAAACTGTATCCTTCTCAAGTATACAAGCACATGGACGAAAGGATGGGAAATTCCGCTCGATGCTGAAGTCTATTCGGCACCTGCAGCCTTCTCCAGTCTGTGAGAAAGGGATAAGCTGAAAAGGCTACCGGGATTCCTGGGAGTGTAGGATTCTAGAGAAGGATCGAATTCGCGAACAAAACCCGTTCTTGAGAGTGGGAACAGTGTCGGCGGGGGTGTCACTATTCTCACCTCTTTCAAACTGGAGACACAAATCCATTTACAAATCAGACGAAACGAATTGTCTCCCTCTCCATCCATATATCTATTAGTGTTTGTGCTCCAATCGGGACTTCCCTTCTGTCGTTCATGCATACAAAATCACCATTTTTGGCTCACTGCAAGGCACGGAAAAGGGGCTTTGTGTAATGATAGCCAGGAAGTAGTGGAAAGGAGCTTCCTGGGTAGCTTCTGAATGTAGCGACATAAGTATCAAGCGGACCATGCGCGACACCCACACTACATTCACAGTCGAACCAAAGCTGCTGACAGTGGAGAAATCTATAATTACTATGCACGTGCAGAACGCGACCCAACACTGCCGGTATTCAGGGCCACTGAAGAACTTCCTCGAGAACTACTCTTTTTCTACTCTTTTTCTTTCTACTCTTTTTTAGCGAGGAAGAGAAAGAGTCGGTTCAGAAACCAAACCATTATTTGCAGCAACCCTTGCGGCAGCGCGGTTCAGCGCCGTTCTATTGTAAATAGTTATACGTTACCAGGAGAGAGAGAGGCACCTCTTTTCCGGACAGTTGCACGGGAGTACAAAGGCTCTCGGGTCCGTGCCTTTTTTTGTTGCTGTTGTTGTTATTGGGGAGCGGGGGGGGGGGGGGAGGGCGTCACGCACATTTGAAACGTTTCAAAGGAGATATGGGAGCAGCGGCACCCCCGAAAAGAATGGATTAGTTCCAGCAGGAACAGGCTTTTCGCCACTGCATGCTAGGACGGCGGAGAGTGCATTTTCCTCCCTTTTTTCCAAACGTGACTTAGTGGCGTCTTCTGGTGGCTCAAGCAGAAACTACTCGCAAGATGGCGACGGTGGTACCGTCACCTTAATGACGAAATGAAGAAGGAGGTCTGCCGTAGTTATTGTTAGTGAAGATAGAAGCACGCACTCAAAACGGAGTAACGAAGAATCACGAATCTTCGCCAGAGTGACAACTTTGGACTACTTTAGTATATGTGATACCGCTGTAGTGAATATTTACATCTTTTTCTCTTGGATTTCATATTTTCGCTCTTGAGTAACATTTTTAAAATGAGCGGTGCCATAAAAAATATACTATATTCTATTCTTCGCCTCATAGGCATTCCAGGTGACGTGATTTCACAAGAAGAACGTTTAATATCTATAGCTGCACTGGAATAGGTGTCAGTTTTTTCGCCGATGCCTGTGGTTTACAAACATCAAACCTGCTTCTGCACGCCGATTGGGTGAAGCAGTCGAGGAAAACGACGTGGGATTTCGCACTTTACAAACATGTAAGGGCGCCCCATTCCACGGCAGATCGCGATCAGGGTACGTACCACTGTAGTAGAGTGTTAGCCTTGAATCTAATCCGTGCGGCTCCTACAGAAGA